ATGTTATAAAATGTTACAGGAATTGAATGTATGTTGCTTAACGTACCATTCGAGAATTTTTCGCTAATATAGAGATGATACCTGCTTTAGGTGAAGTGCCACAAATGTTGACCCAAGCAAGGCGCTTACGGCTGTAGCAGTGCAAACACCTACCATGACACGGGAATCGGTTTTTCAATGTCTCATCCGAAAGACTCTTAACTTTCATTTCTACACTTGTGCACCGGACGCTTGGCGAAGGAACACACACTACCTTTTTAAAATCTTGAGTTTGACGAGGCGCCGGGAACGAGAATCAAACCCTGACATCCAGATCGCGAAGCGAGCGCCCTACCACTAGATTACCGTGACCAGTAAATGTTACATGATGAACAAAAGATATGTAAAAGTACGATCCGCCGTAACTAACATCAATAATAAATGTAATATGAAATCATCCATAAATCAAGCCAATCACCTTTATTTACAGTCAAACCTCGTCATTCAGACCTCGATGGGACCAAAGAAAAACTTTTGAGATATCCGAAGATTCGACATGTTCAGATTGAAATACATACAGGTTGCATGATGTTTCTTGAGGTTGGAAGCTACATTGTAATTAAGTTGCGAGTGGTACCATGTATAATGCCAAATGCTGGCGGTAGAATTTCATATTTGGAAGGTTTACTCGTAAAATCAAACTGCCGGGTCTTTTAAAAGGTAGCAAACAGGTAAACCTCGTTATCTCGAATTTTGTTGGGTCGATAAAATAAACTCCAAACTCTTAAAGAAAAGAGTGATTTGGATTTCCAACTCGCTTCGACAAATCGAGTTATTGGAGATATCGATGTTCGAGATATCAAAGTTCAACGGTATCATTACGTACTTGCATTAAATCAAGACGAACGTGTTCATGCAAAATCATGATTTTTGAATTGAGTATGGACTTAAGACTTTTAAGTTTTGCTAAAGGACATTTTAAACGCAAGAACTGAAATGCGTCCTTATTTCAAAACAAAATCATCTCTTCTTGAAAACAAACATATTAATATTATTTTCAAAACTATAAAGAACCATCTTTTACTTGCCAATTAAAAGACAACCAATGTTTCAACTGCTTTTTTTTTTTTAAAAATACAATTTCTTTTCCCTCTAGAGAAGAAGAAACGTGTTTTTAACGTGATTTATTTTAGAAAATCGTTCAACTATATAGCTCTTCACTTTTCGATATGTTATTTGGCAGAAATTCAAAAGTGGAAAATTTAATTCTGTCAAAACAAGAATACCTTGAAATTATTAAAGTATAAGTTCAAAACAGACAACCGCACATGTAGTTGCTTTTTCACAAAATATCAAACCACATTTTGGCGTTTTATAATTTATGTCATTTTTCCTTCTTCATCTCTATTCGCAGATTTCAATTAATTGTGAAATTGTAAAAATTTGTATGTAAGCAAGAAATATTTTGCCGATCGATGAATTTTATATTTAAACTATAAAAATTGATTTTAGCAAAACATTTCATGAATTTTAGGTGTTCTGCATGGTGAATAATAAATTTTCACTTTATTTTCTAATGAACGAATCTTTCTTTTCAATGGTATTTCCCAATATTTCGCGCGGTTTGATATAGTGTCAATGTCTATACCGTGTACATTCAAATATATTAAACATCAAATATATTAAACATCAAATCGATTAAAAACTGTGACCGCTGACAACGAACAAATGACTTCATTAACAAGGGATCGATATAAGCTTTAAAATCGATAGCACAGGGTAAGATTAAATCCTCCTTCAGTCGACGCGTATACCACTGGAACTAGAGCAATATTTTCATCGAAGTCATCTATTCTGACACAGGTGTTAATTTGAAGGGTACAGTCACATTTCTATATTAAATTTCGAGAGGAATAAAACATTCCGTAATTGAAAATGGAGTTGGACCTTGACTATAAATTGCTGTGGAATTGGAAAATATCTTTTTCGACCCCCCACCCCCATGCTATGCTCCCCTTTAGATTTTCTATGTAAAAAAAAAATTATGATGAGAACAAGATGTGTTTGTGAAACACTATGCACCCGGCGGCAACAAAGTTCGAAAAAGCTATTTTTAGCGTATAGGTCACAGTCAAGGTCATAAGGTCATTGACCTTGGTGTCATTTGAAAGAACTTAATTAGTGGAGTATGCATACCAAATATGAAGTCTCTATCTCCTATGGTTCAAAAGTTATGGCGAAGGTTAAAGTTGACAACAGACAGACAAACAGACAGACAGGACAAAAACAATATGCGCCCCCGATCTATCGATCCGGGCGCATAAAAAATAGAATAGTACTCAGAAAGGGGTGGAAAATATAAATTATGCCAGTATTCAACTCAAATACCTTTATCACACTTGGTGATCTTTATTGTTTGAAATACTGTTTTATTCACTAAATACTCGAGTCAAATAGTGACTTGAATAAAACTCGATAGTCACATGAAGAAGACATCGATGTTAAATTAAATCAGTCTGACCTTGTCCCAACATTCTACAAAATTCTGTAGCTGTGAAAGGGTAATAAATTCTATCCCCATTCCTCTACCCCAGAGATTTTTTTTAAAAAAAATCCTCTAATGAATATTGTGAGATGTAAATAAAATGAATTTATTGTTCGTATTTTTTTCAAAAGGGCTTAAATTCTCTCTCTCTCTCTCTCTCTCTCTCTCTCTCTCTCTCTCTCTCTCTCTCTCTCTCTCTCTCTCTCTCTCTGGTTGTAAATCGCACAGGTACTTGGGTCTTGGTTTATAAATATGTATGTACGTACCTTATTGATATGTAAAAAAAAAAAAAAAAAAAGTACTACTTGGGTCTTGGTTTATAAATATGTATGTGCCTTATTGATATGTTAAAAAAAGTACTTTTTTTTTTAAATATCCATAAGGTACATACATAATTATAAACCAAGACCCAAGTACCTGTGGTAAATCGTGTACTTGTTTTAATTTATAAATAAAAATCAGTAAATTGCAAGACCATTTGTCCACTGAAGAGCAGATTTCTCTCGGTGATTCCTAGCTGAAACTAAAAGTCAACGTGTAGTTTCAATAGAACAGAACTGTTAAATCTGTAATAGTCACCGGCGATTTAAGACTGTCATCTTGATATTTATTGTATATAGACCGCACGCAATACCTTTCCCTCCTTAAGGATATCAATTTATCGCTTATCTTAACCTATCCAGCGTTTTGTAAAAGTCTCCTTAAAATTCTTTTTGGAAAGGTAATTGCGTCTATCTTATGCCACTTAAGTTTCTTCATGCAGTCTACTTTATTGAATAAGAGGTGCCTGTATTTAATTAATGTGCTAAATGCACTCATAGAGGGATTATCGGGATTATAGAGATGTCGTTATCTCCAACAATTTATCTTCTGCGATGAAAAAAGACAGACAACTGACGGAAATGCTATCAATTGTGTGGATTTTGTACTGTTTCCTGTAAATATTTTGTTTATGATTAAGGAGATGAATTTTAAAAAAAAAAAAAAAAAAAAAAAAAAAAAAAAAAAAAAAAAAACCTTATTTCGGGCACACAATTGTACCATCCCTTGAAATGTTTGTTCCTAAGGATAAATAACACAACAAACAAAAATGATTCATGGATCCTATATAATTTTTGACTGATTTTTAACGGAAATGAAATAAATAATAAATTCCGGAAATATATTTAAGAAATCGAATTTTTTTTTGGTATATTCTTTGTAAAATTTATTTATTTATTTATTTATTTATTTATTTTGGTTCCAAATACACGCGTATATGCGACTTTATACAATTTCTACACATGTATAAATGTATACCATTTTTATACACTCATTGTTTGACATTATAACAATTTCCTGCTTTACTTTTAAATTAGCAAACATTATTTAAATTATTTATGGATACATCTTTATTAGATATATTGCTGATTTCTGAAAAAGTTTGATTGTGTTATTTAAATCCTTAAGTAGAATTTAAAGTTAAAAGTTTAGTGTTAAGTTAGATTATCCTTTGAGCTGCTTTGCTATGGAGAAAAAGGTGGATGTATCAAATAATTTAAAGTTAATTTAAATTATGAATCATTGATATTGAAAATTTCAGTTCATTACATATGTAATTTGAGAGAGAATATAATACTGTACTCTTTCTCTCTCTCTCTCTCTCTCTCTCTCTCTCTCTCTCTCTCTCTCTGAAAGTGTATATTTCATAATATAGTGGAAAAACAGAGACTAATTCAGAAAGGCATTTTTGTTCTATCCCTTTTCAGTATATGGCTTAAAGTGTCTTGAACTCTAAATCAGAGAAAATACCCATTTTATCTTTAGAGTCGTTAACTCTAAGGTCTGACGCATGTTCTCCGCGAGAAGCGATACACTTCACAGTATCTACCTGTAATCTATTACAGGTAAAAACATTTAAAGACGTCAGGCCCGTACACACAAATCCAGGTAATGACGTCATATACACCAATAATCAATTAAATACATTAATCAATCCATATAGATACATCGATTTGGGTGATGCATTTAAAACATACAGTATATTACTCCCTAGTTCTATTATGACGAATAGACTTTTCACGCTTTTGAAAATGTTTTGAATAATTATTTAAAAGGAATGATTTTTTTTTATGTATCCCATTACATGTATACTTTACATAAAGTATAACTTTTCCAAATAATTCATAGATGCGCTGAGATACTTTGCTTGCCTTCGATTTTGTCGATGATGCTACCTATTCAATTACATATACAACGTTAAACATTTATCCACCTTAATTCGTCTCTTAATTTTTTCTTACAATTAGTACATGCACGTTCTTAAAAGTACTGTGCTATAATCACATGAACAGAAAATTTTAATTAAACTTTGAATGTGTATTACATGTATATAAATTAACACAATATCTGATATTCATATACACATCTAAAATCAGGCTCCATTTATAAATGTTGTCTAATACCACGTTTCTTAACTAAGTCTAGTAAAGTTTACCTCAACCTCCGAAATGTGTTCAGATAACTTGTCTGCGACATCTCAAGCTCACATATGCTCCTCCCTGTACGGTCAGTTTAGCCCCCGGGAAATCACTACGTTCATTTGTCTTAGCAGGGCTATCGATCAGCAATCGGAATGGGACTCTAAATCTAAGCTCTACTGTGGTCAAAGACTCCACAGAAATGTCACAGGCATTATAGCCCGCTAATCAAATTTTTGTATGTACACATAAGAAGTCGGCCTTTCCCTGGTTTTCTGCAGGTATATCTGAGTTTTGTGTATCTAAGGGTCTATAAAATTGATATGACTGTCTTTTGATCCGGAATTATTTGCCTGCTGTTTAAATCAATGTCAATTTATCAGAAGCTTCGTATACAGGTAAATGTATATAAATTGTAAGTTGCTTTAAGTTGTGTTTGTACAGCATGGTACAAATCAAGTCAACACAACAATCAAATCATAAAGAGAATTTCCGTCTTTAGATACGACATACACAAAAAATAGCTGCATTATTTTAAATGCCAAATCTCTCTCTCTCTCTCTCTCTCTCTCTAAAACAGTAATCTATATTTTTTGCTCACCCGAGCTGAAAATTCAAGTGAGCTTTTCTGATGACATTTTGTCCGTCTGTCTGTCTGTCCGGCGTCTGTCGCTACGTCCATAGGTAAACTTTTTTCCACATTTTCGACTTCTTCTCAAGAACCACAAGGCCAGTTTCCACTAAACTTGTCACAAAGCATCCTTGAATGAAGGGGATTCAAATATGTCAAATGAAAGGCCAATCCTTCTTTCAAGGAGAGATAATTAAAAATTAGTGAAAATATGGTAACATCTCTTTTAAGAACCACTGAGCCAGAAAAGTTGCAACTTATTTAAAGCTTCATTACATAGTGTAGATTCAAGTTTGTTCAAATCCTAACCCCGGGGTAAGGTGGAGCCTACAATAGGTGATCAAAGTTTTACATGGGAATATACTTGTATATATAGGGATAAATCTTCTAAAATCTTCTCAAGAGCCACTGGGCCAGAAGAGTTGACACTTATGTGTAAGCTTCATTACATAATGTACGTTCATATTTGTTTATATCATAACCCCCTAGGGTAGAGTGGGGCAACAATGGACTATCAAAATTTTAAATAGTAATATATGGGAAAAAATCTTTCAAGATCTTTTTTAAGAAGAGCAAGGGCTTGATTATTCATAATGATATGGAAGCATCCTCGGGTAGTGTAGATTCAAGTTTCTTCATATCATGACCTTCCGGGCTATAGGGTGAAGTTGCAAAGGGTGATCAAAATTTTACATAGGAATGTATAGGGAAAAAATCAGCTGATGAAGAACAGCAGGGCCATAGTGACTCAGGTGAGCGGCGTGGTCCATGGGCCTCTTGTTGAATATACAATCATAGTGGGAAATATTACTAATCATATAGAGACTTTTATATACATGTAATAGATTGTAGATGTTGTTTATACTCTGTGGAAGCTTATGGACCTTGATCCACCAAAAGTCGAGAAATATTTACACATGGCATATAACGTGCTTTATATGTTAATTGGCAGTCAATATTTTTTGTTTGCTTTTGTTTTAGAGAAGAATATTAAACATTGGAGAAAATGCTTATATTGCTACACTTCGATAGCAGAATAAATATGGGTAGAGCTTTCTCTAGAATGTATAAGTATCTGTCTATAGTTTCCGAGACCCCTCTATATCTGCACCCAATATTAAATACAGAGGGGTCTCGGGAACCTAACCTGTGTATATAACGAATTCGAATAGAATAACCCCTTAAGAAAGAAATTCCTTCTTGAATTTTGCACAGAAACTGCTTGATGTACGTACACCTGCTGTGAAAAAAGGGGAATGGGGTGCGAAGAGGGTGAGGGAATGCATACATTTTATGTTTGACCAGTAAGTCACGTGATATACATGTACAGTATATCGCATTTACAGTCGACCCTCTTTTTTTTTTTTTATCTCAATCACTCTTATTATACGGGCAATATTTGAACTATATAAAGAAATGTATTGTAACTAAGAACTGTTTGTAAATTTCTATCGATCTGGGAATAAAAAAAACTTATATATTAACACTCAATTCAGATTTACGTGTACATTGCATTTTCCGGGGGTGGGGGTGGGGTGTTCGGTTGAGCGTTTATTAATATTTATTAAATATATTAATAATATTAATACTGAATTACAACTTACATATTTCGCAACTTGAATAAAAACTTTTATTTTGAATGTGAAATGTATTTGTTTATAAAGCAAAACTCAGTATGAATTCAACGTGATTTAAACCAAATATCAACACTTGTACAACCAAAAACTTTAAAGCAAAAGTCAACCTAATTTCAACCAATGTTCAACCTTTTTTCAATGATGATATTTGTCGTTGAAACAACCTTGAAGTTTCAACGTTCCCTTAACTTTCATTTGCAACCAAATTTCAACTACAAATCAACCAAAGTTCTACCCATTTTCAACGTCTATTCAACGTTGAAAAATGACGTTGAAACAACGTTAATATCTCAACGTTGCCTCAACTTTCATTTGCAACCAAAATTCAACGTTGATTCAACGTTGAAATACCTCCTGGGTAATTAGTTTACTCCGAAGAATGAAAAACCAGTTGATCCTTTTTCATGTTCCTCTATCATTTAATTGTTGATTGGGGAAATATCTTTTATATTTTGTAATCTAAATGATTTTAAAATTATATCCAGCTGTCTTTGTATAATGCATGCATGAACATCCATACAAATATTCGTCTTATAATTTTTTTGATTTCTGCAAATGCATACTTAAATTGTTTAATTAACTGTCTCAAACTTGAAGGAAATAAATGCCTTTATATTTCAACAATTTGTTAAACACCTTGGATCATAGACATTTGATATGTTTAACCCACATTTTATATCGTTGTGTTTTTATTCCGTATTTACGCCATTATAGAACAATTAGATAACTGATTATTAAGAATTAAGAATGCATAACAACCTTGATAAAGCTCATTCTATACACTTTTCTATGAGCACAATTAATTAATTTCCTGTCGTTTTTCCGTACAGTCACATTGGTAAAAAAAAATGAATGGGGACCTTACCGTACATACTGTATGGGTAAAAATATAGCATTTCTTAAGAAATCAATAAAAACATGCAATTTTCTCTCTTTGATTATTTACAGATGATCATAATCTTTCTAAAGCACTTTTTACCTCCCCCCCCCCCCCCCGAAAAAAAATAATGCAAATTGTTTTCAGTGCTTCAAAATAGACGCAATTCGGATGAAATCTTTATACAAACCTTTGACAATCCATGAAAATTTTCTTAAAAGTTGTTCAAGTCCCTGGCGGTTTTTGATAATTCAATGTTTGGTAGCTTCCAGGGTCGTAATTCCACATACATTGTACTTTCCTGCCGCTATGATCTCTGTGTGGCTTTTACTGGCAGAGAATGGAATTAAAACTCCATTATTGATATTTTCCTGTCATATTGAATTTTTTTTCCTTTAATTTTATCGGTGATTATCTTCAGTGTCGGAAATAGGATCGTTAACAGCAGAGGCAGACACCGCAGTAAAAATCAATATGAATATTTACATAGTCGATACACAGAATTGAATGATAATTAATTACATGATATATATGAATTTTAAGAAGTCCCCCATTCAATCAATTTCAATTTAAAAAAAAAAAATGTTTATACATGTTTACCGGTTATGGAACCATTGCAGTCCAAAAGGTGTGGTAACATTAGCATGACGGAAAAGGGGGGGGGGGGGCAATATTTCTCTATCTCTGCATTAGAACAAAAAATTCTGTCCGGAAATTATTATCATCATTTTTTGACATTTACTTTTAAGTTCCGAAAGTTTGTTTACAATAATTCGGAATCCTCGAGATTGATCGATACTACGCTATAAAGACCTTTGCCCATGCTGGAAATCATGGGAAACTCTTTGGCCAAGGCTGCGGCAGTAGATTTCGGCATTCAGTGGGCGTGCTGGGCGGTGGCAGCTAGTCTTAAGACTGAGAAATTTTACGATTTGGCAGGTAAAATCCTACATACTGCATAAAATTTTAAATTTTGTTAGGAAGTGTCTATCGGCACGACGGTCGTGCCGATTATTTTCGTTATTCGCACGACGGTCGTGCGAATTACAGTTCCTATCCGCACGACACCTGAGAGATAACTCTAACATTATATACATTAACAAACGTAAACTTTTCACCTAAAATTTAATCCAAAGAAAAAAGGGATGCACATAACACACACATGTAGAACTAATTATAACATTCAGTTAAGCAAAATTTGCTTACGTTGAATTTTCTTCGTGAATCATCGTGGCACAGTATAATAAGAATTTAATTTTTTATTCGTCCTTTATATCATCTCTTGGGTACATGTAACGTACTTCTAACGTTATTTTGATTGGAAATATAAAAAAATTATAGCTATTTATTTTCAATAATTTTCTTTCGTTTTTATGGTGTTTATATTCTCTTTTCATAATTTTCCATTTTTCTGGATGGCTTAATAATCTCTCTCTCTCTCTCTCCTTCCAGTATACTGTACACAGGCACTTGTTTCGTATACGGGACACCCCTACTTATTTTTACCACAAGGTACCTAACTCAATTTAATCAGGCACCCCCGCTTCAAGCTCGTATTTTGTTTATAGATCAATCATTAACCTACATGTACTTTAAAATGACATCGTTCGCTTCGAAAGACTTTTTTCTTGTCAAATAATCGTTTCGGGCGTCACTGGTCGATCCTCTTTATTGTAAACCGCTCATTTCTTCCTCGAAAATTATCTCGATACAAAATAAGACTACGAATGGGATACATAGACTTCCTGTTGGGTTATAAATTAAGGATAAAACCAGATACCTCGTAAAGGAATACTCGTAAGTCTCTGGACTTATCCTACAAAATTATCAAGCGTACAAGTTAAAAAAATCTTTAAGACGTGCAAAGGCAATCAAAAATCGGATAATTTTCTATCCGCAAATTGAACAGAATTTGTGATTCCGTGCATATTTTCCCTATTTATTTTATTTAAAAATAAATTTTTATTTTAAATAGTAAATCGATTAATTTCTAATATATTCATAGAGGATGATTTTTTAGTAAATTTATGCAATATTACATGTATATTCTTTGATAGTGAACATATATAAAGTTTCGTCTAAATATTTTCTTATTTAAGTACGTTGATCAAACGTGTTTGGAGTTTTTCAAATATACACTGAGGAACCATTTAAATTCATTCAAAAATTCTTCAAAATCAATATGATACGATATAATCCATGTTCATGAAAGAAAAGACAAAAGACACTGAATTTAATTTCAGATAAGTAAATATAAATATTTAAAAAAAAAAAAAAAAAGAAGAAGAAGAAGCATGAGAAAGATTCACATTTAGTCTACTTTATTACAATACTGAGACCGTAATCTTGGATTCCGATAAAATAATTCACGTGTACATGTACAGTATCATAGGACACAGACTACCACTATTTCGCTACAATATATTCCTTTATAACATAAAAATTAATTTAAAGAATTTGACTGCCTCAAACTCACCTGACATTTGGCACAGAGCTAGAACAATTCCAGTCTAAAAATATTCTGAATCTCAGGAAAATTTGTAGTGTACAAGCCATGCTGTGACACTTCAAATAACCTCTACACTGCACATATTTCAAATTCCCTTAAATTTGAGAAGCAGGTGAAAAAGCCTTCTTTATACCCTTCCTAAAAGCAAAGATTCCACTATTGTAATTGAAAAAAAAAATCCAGACATTTTTTTCTATCTGATATCAACCCATTCCACTCCATATACATTCCAGAGGATTTTAAAGAAAAAACCCTCTATTTTTTTTTTAATGGCACTACTTGCACAGAATGGGATAAATTAACCGTCAGTGTCGGACTGTCGAGAAGCTTTTTTTTTCTAATATATAAAATTGAAATTTGAGTGTCGTATTTCGAAAAAAAAAAGGCCGTTGTTTTTCTTTTTGAAAAATCGTAATCGTAATTATACCGCGGCATAACCTTTGAATAAGCTAGGAATTTCTGAAGAATAAGCATGGTAGGGTTAAATTCACTTTTTGTGTCCGTCTAATATGTAAAATTCTACATACAATACCAAAACATCGAGTAAAAATTTATTTATATAAATAAAGTATTTACAAATATAAATAATATAAAGTTATAAACAAAAAAAAATATATAAAATTGTTTCAAAGTTTGTCGTGCGAATAGCCTCCGTAATTAGCACGACCGTCGGGCGGATAACTTCGGTAATCGGCACGACCGTCGTGCGGATAACACCGGTAATTAGCACGACCGTCGTGCGGATAGCCTCGGCCATTTTGTTAACACATATAACAGTTCAAGTTATGTAACCTAAACTATTCATGTACCGATTTTCCTCAGTTTCATTTTTGCTATCCTGTTATCTGCAACGCATGATGTATACCTTTAAGGGCCTGTTTAATTGGAACATTTGAAAAAAGAGATATGCAATAAATGTCCCATATGCATGAAAATTTATGTTTCTAGGCTCTGTGCTAGGTCATTGACAGGATTTGATTTTATCAGGGACCTACATGTATATTTTTACAGTAAAGTTTTCAAAGTGATTACGAAAGTAAATCAAAGTTATCATTATAGTAAATTAATTTTCTGTGAGAGTAAGTGGATGTTTATATATCCCAGATTTTTATCCATGTCAGAGTCAGCAGGATAAGGAGGGGTCCCAATAAGGGAGCATATGAAAGCATCTCTGTGTAGTTAAGATTCATTTTTAGCTCACCTGAGCCGAAGGCTCAAGTGAGCTTTTCTGATCACATTTTGTCCGTCGTCCGTCCGTCCGTCTGTCCGTCTGTCTGTCTGTCTGTCCGTCCGTCTGTAAACTTTTCACATTTTTGACTTCTTCTCAAGAACCACTGGGCCAATTTTGACCAAACTTGATACAAAGCATCCTTGGGTTAAGGGGAATTTAAATTGTTAAAATGAAGGGCCAAGTCCCCTCACAAGGGGAGATAATCAAGAGAAGACAAAAATAGGGTGGGGTCATTAAAAAATCTTCTTCTCAAGAACCACAGGGCCAGTAAAGCTGAAACTTATATGGAAGCATCCTGGGGTAGTGTAGATTCTAAATTGTTCAAATCATGACCCCCGGGGGTAGGGCGGGGCCATAATAGGGAGTCCAAGTTGTACATTGAAATTAATAAGAAAAATCTTTTAAAATTCTTCTTCTCAAGAACCACTGGACCTGAAAAGCTGAAACTTATGTGGAAGCATGCTGGGGTAGTGTAGATTCTAAATTGTTCAAATCATGACCTACGGGGGTAGGGCGGGGCCACAATAGGGAGTCCAAGTTTTACATTGAAATTAATAAGAAAAATCTTTTAAAATTCTTCTTCTCAAGAACCACTGGACCTGAAAAGCTGAAACTTATGTGGAAGCATGCTGGGGTAGTGTAGATTCTAAATTGTTCAAATCATGACCCCCGGGGGTAGGGCGGGGCCACAATAGGGAATCCAAGTTTTACATTGAAATATATAGGAAAAATCTTTAAAAATCTTCTCAAGAACCACTGGGCCAGAAAAGGTGAAACTTACGTGGAAGCATGCTGGGGTAGTGTAGATTTTAAATTGTTCAAATCATGACCCCCGGGGGTAGGGTGGGGCCACAATAGGGAATCCAAGTTTTACATTGAAATATATAGGAAAAATCTTTAAAAATCTTCTTCTCAAGAACCACTGGGCCAGATAAGCTGAAACTTACTTGGAAGCATCCTGGAGTAGTGTAGATTCCAATTGTTCAAATCATGACCCCCGGGGGTAGGGCGGGGCCACAATAGGGAATCCAAGTGTTACATTGAAATATATAGGAAAAATCTTTAAAAATCTTCTTCTCAAGAACCATTGGCCCAGATAAGCTGAAACTTACTTGGAAGCATCCTGGGGTAGTGTAGATTCCAATTGTTCAAATCATGATCCCCAGGGGTAGGGTGGGGCCACAATAAGTACTACGGGGGGGGGGGGGGGGGAGAGAAATCAGGTGAAAAACAGCAAGGCCAAAGTTACTCAGGTGAGCGCTGTGGCCCATGGGCCTCTTGTTTTTTTTAGGTCACCTGAGTTTATTCAGGTGACCTATTGCTATCTGTTTTCGTCCATCGGCGTGCGTCGTCTGTCGTCCGTCGTGCGTTAACGTTTGAACATTTTCAGCTTCTTCTCTGGAACCACTGAACCAATTTCAACCAAATTTGGCACATAGCATCTATATGTGAAGGGGAGTAAAAGTTGTGAAATTCATGACCCCCACCCCCCTGGGGCCTGAGGGGTGGGGCTAAAACCATCAGAATTAATGCAATCTTTAAAAATCTTCTTCTTTACTCCTGGGCATCAAACAGGCAAACTGTTGGCATGAATGTAATAAGCATTGAGCCCTCTACCTTAATTGTGAAATTTATGGCCCCAGGGTCAGGGGTTCTGGTGCTAGGGTGGGGCTCTGTTGAATATGTAGTGAAAAGCATTATTCTTAAAAAAATCTTCTCCTCTGCTCTTGGGTATTAAGGAAACAAACAATATGTAAAGTTATGATGAAGAAAGGCGTCTCTTCTAAAATTGTGAATTTCATGGCCCCTGGGTCAGGGGTTCTGGTGTTATGGCGGGGATCTAATCATTATATAGTGAAAATGCATTAATTATCCAAAAATCTTCTCCTCTGCTCCTGGGTATTAATCCGATGAACTAAGTACATAGTTATGATGAGAAAGAGTGGCTCTTCCAAAACTGTGAATTTCATGGCCCCCAAGGGTCAGGGTTCTGGTGTTAGGGTGGGGCTCTGTTGAATATATATTGATAATGCATTATTTCTTTGAAAAGCTTCTTCTGTGCTCTTGGATATTATGAAAACAAAATAAATACATATTTATGATGATGAAAGGTGCCTCTTCCAAAATTGTGAATTTCATGTCCCCAGGGTCAGGGGTTCTGGTGTTAGGGCAGCATTCTGTTGATTATATAGTGAAAATGCATTATTTCTTTTAAAAATCTTCTCTGATCCAGGGCAAACAAACTGAATGCATAGTTATGATGAGTAATGGTGGCTATTCCTATATTGTGAATTTCATGGCCCCTGGTCAGGGGTTCTGGTTTTAGGTGGGGCTCTAATGATTACATAGTACATAGTTCTGGTGTAAGGGCGGGGCTCTGTTGAATATACATGTATGGTGAAAATGCATTATTTCTTTAAAAATCTTTTTCTTTGATCCTGGGTATTTAACAAACAAACTGATGCATAGTTATGATGAGTAAAGGTACCTCTTCCAAAATTATGAATTTCATGGCCCTTGGGTCAGGGGTTCTGGTGTTAGGGTGGGGCTCTAATGATTACATAGTAAAAATGCAATAATTCTTTGAAAATCTTTTTTTTCTCCTGGGTATTAAGCTGATGAACTAAGAGTATAGTTATGATATGTAAGGATGCCTCTTCCAAAATTGTGAATTTTATGGCCCCTGGGTCATGGTTCTGGTGTTAGGGCAGGGCTCTAATGATTACATAGTGAAAATGCATTCTTTGATAATCCTCTGCTCTCTTTCTGGGTATTAAGTAAGCTTACTAAATGTAAAATTATGATGAGCAAGTGTGCCTCTTTTGAAATTGTGAATTTCATGGCCTCTGGTTTAAAACATGAATCCAATTTGATTGTGGCGTTGCATGAGTTGTTGCATGATACTCAGGTGACCTATAAGGCCCGTGGGCCTCTTGTTTTGAAATAATAGCCCTGGGGATGGGGTAAGTATCTTTAGATGAAGGGGGTTCAAATTTGTTCAAATGTAGAGGCACACCTTCTCTCGTGGGGAAATAATTAATAATTGGTTAAATATAATGACATCTTTTTAAAAGCATTCTTCTCAAAAACCACTGTTGCTGATCAAAAACGATGAAACTTATATGAAACTTGTATTAACATTCAAATTTGTTCAAATTGTGGTCCCATGGGGTAGGGTGGGGTCACCATAAAGGGATAAAAAAAAAAATAGCATGTGAATATGTAGGACAAATTCTTTAACAATTTTCTTCTGAAGAACAGCAAGGCTTTCAACTTTGATCAGATCATGCCCCCAGGGGGTACATGTAGGGTGGGACCACAATAGGAGATGAAAGTTTTACATGATATTATACATGTATATAAGAAAGACTCTAAAAATCCTAAGTACAGCAGGGCCATGATTAAACTTAATGTGTAGATTCAGGTAGACTAAGTGTAGACTGAGATTTGATAAGATCAGGGGCCAGGATCATGAAACAGACTTCGACTTAAGTCAAATTTTCAATCGCCTGTAAAATGTTTAATAGTTATTGAATTACTTTCTAAATTCTTGGGTAACAACTCTTTTGTGGAGCAATTTTGAGATATATTTTAATTTTGATTTGCTTGATTTCTATAACATTTTAGTACAACATAAAGATTTTGACTTAAGCTTAAGATGTTTCATGATCCTGGGGCCAGGGCTCCCAGGGGGAGGGAAGGACTATAATAGGGGATCCAAGTTTTACAAGGAATTGTGTATGAGACAGTCATACTATATCATAGCAATATGGAAACATTTGTAAGTTCTGTTGATTATTTTTTTTATTATTTACAAGAGCATGTTCTTTGTACAAAAAATTTTGTAAAATGAGGCAGGCTACTGACAAACAAGTTAAGGATACAAGAGTATCTACAATCTTGGCTGAAGTCAACATTTTGCAAGTTCAATAATTGATACTATGACCTTGTTTGCAAATTACAATCTGTCATTAGGTCGAACATTGAATGACGTCTTTAATACAAAATTGTTAGGCCATTATTTTTCATACTGAATTGACAACAGATTTCTCCTTTTACCCAGTCATAACAATGAGCACATGGTGGATGTGACCGGTCATTTCCATGGCACACACTGAATTGTCTACGGATTTTTCCGTTTTTCCCAATCATGACTAGAGCACATGGCAGATGTGACCAGTTAGTAGGATATGCTCACTCCTCCATGGCACCTGATCCCACCTCTGATGTTTTTGACATTTATACTAATACTCGGATGAATTAAATATAACAATGACTTATACTATAGATTCCTTATTTTTCACGAGTACTTTATATAGCAGAATGGCTCTTTCAGTTTGATGTCAAATCGCGAGAACAGTAATTCGCTAGTGGACTGTTACATACTTACTTAGGACTGTCGTTCCGTTAGGAACATGGGCCATCGATGACAGTCTTCCAACGAACTCTAGTGGACTGTTGGTCAAGAGATATTATATGGACTTCAGTACCATAAAAATGAAAGTGATTAGATTTATTTCATGAGTGGTGTTTCTTGCGAAATTACATGATAATTAATTCCTCAAGCTCACGTATATTTAGGAATCTACAGTATGGAATCTCCCTGTTGTAGGATCCGGGACATTAATTCTAACACTCAGTCAATGACTTATATGATTAAGTATAATAGTGACTCATATGATTAAGTATAACAATGACTTATATAATTAAGTATAACAATGACTTATATGATTAAGTATAACAATGACTTATATGATTAAGTATAACAGTGACTTATATGATTAAGTTTAACAATGACTTATATGATTAAGTATAACAATGACTTATATGATTAAGTATAACAGTGACTTATATGATTAAGTATAATAGTGACTCATATGATTAAGTATAACAATGACTTATATAATTAAGTATAACAATGACTTATATGATTAAGTATAACAATGACTTATATGATTAAGTATAACAGTGACTTATATGATTAAGTTTAACAATGACTTATATGATTAAGTATAACAATGACCATGATGACTTATATGATTAAGTATAACAGTGACTTATATGATTAAAAATAACAGTGACTTATATGACTAAGTATAACACTGACTTATATGATTAAGTATAACACTGACTTATATGATTAAGTATAACAGTGACTTATGTGATTAAGTTTAACACTGACTTATATTATTAAGTATAACAATGACTTATATGATTAAGTATAACACTGACTTATATGATTAAGTTTAACAATGACTTATATGATTAAGTTTAACAATGACTTATCATGCTCATATGGAATCTCCTTGTTGTAAGATCAGGGACGTTAATTCTAACACTCAGTCAGTGACTTATATGGAATCTCCTTGTTGTAGGATCAGGGATGTTAATTCTAACACTCAGTCAGTGACTTATATGGAATCTCCTTGTTGTAGGATCGGGAACATTAATTCTAACACTCAGTCAGTGACTTATATGGAATCTCCTTGTTGTAGGATCGGGAACATTAATTCTAACACTCAGTCAGTGACTTATATGGAATCTCCTTGTTGTAGGATCGGGGAGGTTAATTCTAACACTCAGTCAGTGACTTATGTGGAATCTCCTTGTTGTAGGATCGGGAACATTAATTCTAACACTCAGTCAGTGACTTATATGGAATTTCCTTGTTGTAGGATCGGGGACATTAATTCTAAAACTCAATCAGTGACTTATATGGTATCTCCTTGTTGTAGGATCGGGGACGTTAATTCTAACACTCAGTCATTGACTTATATGGAATCTCCTTGTTGTAGGATTGGGGACGTTAATTCTAACACTCAGTCAGTGACTTATATGGAATCTCCTTGTTGTAGGATCGGGGACGTTTATATATCTAGCCTTACAGAGTCTGAAATGGGGAAGGCGGTATCACCTCAGACAGAAAGTCAACACAGGAATGGTTGTCTCCTGGGCGTTCAGGTTTGTAGTCTAATTTCTGATTCTTCATAAATGTTTCTTATCAGATAATTCAGACTCAGGAAAGTGTGTAGATAATTCTGAGAACAATGGTTCTTGTTACCATCATAAACTGTAGCAATTTATCCTTGTCTCAAAAATTTATGTTGATATGTCGAAGTTGGAAGTCCCAACAACTTTTTCTTTATGTTTGTTAATCTCATGTCCATACATCTTGAATCCTTGAACATCTCTAATTTTCTCTCAGTCTCATTGATTTAGAGATAACAAGCTCTGACAATAAAGCATATCATGAAATACACATAAACACTTCTTCCCTTGTAGACTTGGTCTGTTCCTTTTCACAAGAATTCTAAAAGAAGGTCAAGATCGTCGCTTTAACAAGGTCAGGGACCAACCCGGGACGTTCTTTGTGTACTGGACAATTCAAGGTGAAAATCTTACAAAGTTTGAAAATTATTCATGTATGCATAATCTTTCATGTGGAGATTTGGAGGCTGTCTTTAGGATAAGACCGTATAAACTGGTGACCTGTTTCTGGTAGATTCTGGCACGGTAAAAGATCCTTCAATGGCCATAAGTGCCAATTACAAGTCTAAAGAGCTATATGTGGTATATGCCTATTTTGGCCCCATAAAAGTCAAATTTTGAAAATTTCTTGAAATGTGCTGAATTGTAATATTGTATGAAAAGTCTGAATCTACAAAAAATATAGTTTGGAAGAATTTTATTGGCAATTGTTCTTTCTATGACATCACAAATTATTTGAATTTTGCGTCATTTTTCTGAAAAAAGGACAAAATAAACAAAATTTGTTCAATTTTTACGATATAATATATAGAGCACAAACCTGCTCCATAACAATATTCCACATATTTCAATGATATTATCACTCTACACATTATATCAAAACATTGAGTTGGAGCGACCTGTGCTTGGTGACTTTTACTCAAAATATCAACGTAATATACACCTTTTTCTCTATAAATCATGGAAATTATGAATTTATGTCACTTTTCTGACGTCATATGGTGTCATGACTGATGTAAATATTTATTGCTTTGAAGTCTGCAGATATCCCCCTGGTTTAGAACAGAATTGTAGATTTCTCCATCAAAGTTTGACTTTGGGGGCAAATATTGTTCATCACCGAATATAGTCCTTTGCACCTATGCACCAGCAATTGATGAAGTCCCAGTGTGAGTGAAAAATTCTAAAAAGAGACATAAAGCAAACAAATAAATAACACTTTATACTTGATGCATTTTTCCTGGTTCACTTAGTCTAATAGATCTGTTACTGGGCCAGGATAAATCATGAAACAAACAAACAAACAAACAGAAAATGTTCCAAGTTCTTCTTTAAAGAATCAAAAATCAGAATTGTATCATTTCAATGTTGAGTCAGAGTGCCTTTTTCTCAAGCAAAACAGATTTGAAAAAAAAACTATTTCTTTCTGATTAATATATACCAGGTAGTCATAATGATTAACTGAGGAGCCAGCTGATAAGTAGTAAATATACACTTTTCTGAATGCATTTGCTTTCCTATCAACTGTCCAGAAATTTCACTCATGAAGAATAGTTGCAAAAAGTGGGTTTTAGTCCACTCTTGGTCCTATGGTTGTAATCCACTCTTAGTCCTTTAAATTAGAATCTCAGGAATCAGATTGTCAAATACCAATCAAATACATGTATCAGTTCTAGGAACTAGGGTGGAGCAGTACAATAGGCTTGCAAATGTAACAGGAATAGAGAAAACATATGGCTGGACCAGGAATCGAACCCGGGACCCCTGCATTACTAGTCAGGTGGTCTACTGACTGAGCTACCCAGGCCAGTATCCATGGCCAAAACCATTACATTCCTCCCTTCTTAAATTGTCTTTGCTTCAATTCTGTCATGTTTCAGTACCGCTACCCTCTAACATTAAAATGACTTTTCTGCTCTGTCTGAAGGTATGTGGGTGTTCCTGACACTACTTCCGACACTGATTGTGAACACCAAGAGAGAGGACCAACCTTTGAACTCACGTGATTATATCGGATGGTCCCTGTGGACAGCCGGATTCTTGATCGAGAGCATCGCGGATTACCAGAAATCCGCCTTCAGAGGAAATCCAGAAAACCAGGTACTAAGCGCTCTGTATCATGTATCATTCTGTGTGTCATGTATCCATCTGTGTGTCTTGTATCCATGTGTGTGTCGTTCAATTTTACTGCTGATTTCAAACAATCACAGTTTGATCCAGCTTTCCCTATCACCACACCATGGTTTTTTTGAATCCATATGTCCAATGGTAACTGAGCCAGAGAGCTGGATCACATTTTGTTGACAGATGTGGATCATCAGATCAAACGAGATGAGAGAGTCTGATCTGATGTGAGAGTTCTGTGCCTGTAATAGTGTATCTGCATTTGTTCCAAGAAATAAAGACCATTCCAGATTATTGTGCATCAGCAATCTTCTCTTTCCAAAGTTTCTAGAACATGTTTGTCATTATTTAGGCATTGCATTGTTAGTTTTTGCTTCAACTTGATGCAGGAAATCTAAAACAAATAGAAAATTAAAAAGAATAATTCCTATGCTCTTTAATTTTTCATCTTGCTTGGTTCAGACTTGTTTTGTGTGCTTAATAATTGCAAAACAAGTTTCCTTTGTTTACAGGGAAGCTGTTTGCTGACTTACTGACTTCAGTTCCTTATATACTCAAACCTTGTTATCTCGAACATGATAGGACCAAGAAAATACTTAAAGATATGCAAGGGTTTGAGATATCTAGGGATAAATATTTAATAAATAAGCTTTAGGGACTTCAGAATTTCCTGACATATCCATGGTATTCAGAATATCTGTGTTCGAGATACCAAAGTTAAAATCTATTTTTCTGGGCAATGGCATGAACAGTCGGGCTTTGTCCGGAACCCTGAATTAATCCTCTTTCTGATTTAATCAAAATGGATTGTGAAGATTTGTGCAGCACTGTAACAGAATTTTTATATAGTTTTCAGTTTACTAAATAGATTTATTTGGCACAGATTGTGGGTTTTTAGGCAGTGTAAATGTGTCTCTTTTTTACAGAATAGATTTATCGGGCACAGATTGTGGGTTTTTGGGGAAGTGTAAATGTGTCTCTTTTTTACAGAATAGATTTATCGGGCACAGGTTGTGGGTTTTTGGGGCAGTGTAAATGTGTCTCTTTTTTACAGAATAGATTTATCAGGCACAGGTTGTGGGTTTTGGGCAGTGTAAATGTGTCTCTTTTTTACAGAATAGATTTATCAGGCACAGGTTGTGGGGTTTTGGGTCAGTGTAAATGTGTCTCTTTTTTACAGAATAGATTTATCAGGCACAGGTTGTGGGTGTTTGGGCAGTGTAAATGTGTCTCTTTTTTACAGAATAGATTTATCAGGCACAGGTTGTGGGTTTTGGGCAGTGTAAATGTGTCTCTTTTTTACAGAATAGATTTATCAGGCACAGGTTGTAGGTTTTGGGGCAGTGTAAATGTGTCTCTTTTTTACAGAATAGATTTATCAGGCACAGGTTGTGGGGTTTTGGGTCAGTGTAAATGTGTCTCTTTTTTACAGAATAGATTTATAGGGCACATATTGTGGGTGTTTGGGCAGTGTAAATGTGTCTCTTTTTTACAGAATAGATTTATCAGGCACAGGTTGTAGGTTTTGGGGCAGTGTAAATGTGTCTCTTTTTTACAGAATAGATTTATAGGGCACATATTGTGGGTGTTTGGGCAGTGTAAATGTGTCTCTTTTTTACAGAATAGATTTATAGGGCACATATTGTGGGTTTTGGGCAGTGTAAATGTGTCTCTTTTTTACAGAATAAATTTATTGCCTGACGCCACGTGCGTCAGGCAGTATAAGGATTAATATTTTCAAGATCCGAAACTAAGCGATCATTCTTAATGAACTAGATTTTCTGGAAGCTGATTTACACTGGAATTTGTTACCTGCATTTAAACAAATACAGTTTGCTGAAGAAATAATGATTATCGTATTAATGATGCAAAATAATGATGTGTTTAATTCCTTCAGTTTTTTGGCATGCACATGTTTATTCTTTGCGATTCTTTGCACGGGCATGTCCGTGTAACATTTTTTCTGCGTTTCTAAACTACTGGATCAGTCCATTTGCCTTATACAAAAGGGTGACACAATCATGTAGCATGTTAATTATCTTCGCACCTTTTTCTTGGATTGTTCTATTGAATGGTTGTGATAACTTCTCTGGAAATAAATAACGTTTATTCTTTTAACCTGATTCTTAACCTTCAGATTTTTTATTAACAGTAAATTTTATCTCATTTTTAAAAGAACACATTGTATATGGGCAGGCAACACTAAAGCAATGGATTTGCTGATTATTCTTACTATTTATCCTAGAAGTGAACTAGTCCAATCATAAGCAAACTCCCTCGACCCAGTAAATGGGACATCCCTTCTTGATTCAGTCTGTTTCCCACCTTTACTTTCAATATTACATTTATTAATAATGTACGTTACAAGATTAAGTTTTTAAAAAAGCTTAGAAAGTCAGCCAGTAGCATATCATTTCATGCTTTGTGATGAACAAGGATAGTGACAATAGTAGGTGAGTACCCATAAAGGAATGGGCTTAACTCCCGTAAGGTTCTAAGCAAAGAATCGGCAAAATGAAGAAGACATCATGATCTGTACTAGTTTTCATTTCATATAAAAGCACGTTATTAAAATTATGAGAAAGGTCCTGAAATCGATTAAAAAAAGAAAAACTAAACAATTTTAAAACTGCACATAAAGATGTATTTTTAAACTCATTTATAATACATGTACATGTATATGAGTTTCGTCCGGGAGGTGGGGGGGGGGGGGGTAGGGGTGTTATTAGTATCTTGTTTTGCTCTAGCTTTAAAGTGTACAGTGAATATACTTTGAGTTCTAGAGCAGCATTGGAGCATTTTTGTCTCAAACACTTCAAGAAAAGGCAGTTAAAACTGTTCATAATTTACTTCGACGTCGAGAACGACGGAAAACAGACCAATCTATAAAAAGAGGCGGCCTCATCAATCTATCACTGACCAGAGAAGTGCGCCCTCTAGTAAGAGAGTACATGTAATATGAATTTCTTTAAAAATCATCTAACTCTTTTCCCCAAAAATTATAATCTACGCTATCGCACTTAAAGTTAGAGTTTCATACCAAAGTAACTTGTCAGCCCGTTGGCTAACTAATAAATGATTGAATAGTGGCATGTCTTAGATATTCGTTAATCTGCAGTATTTGGTAATGAGATTTAAGAAAGTCAATTGTACATCTTGTGTAATGAAGTATCGCAACTATGTCGCTCCTTGATGACGGAAATGTTTATAGCACCTCTCTTGCTTATACGTTCCATAGATATTGATTGATTAGTCAGGCAAGCTTTTTGAAAAGCTATTACTTGTAGAGGACTTATTGTGGGTTTTTGAGGCAGCTAGTGTAAATGTGTCTCTTTTTTACAGAATAGATTTATAGGGCACATATTGTGGGTTTTTGAGGCAGTGTAAATGTGAATCTTTTTTTACAGGAGAGAATCATTTAGTACAGAGTATTGAGCTTTGACAGACACCCTAAATAAATGTGAATCTATTTTACAAAAAAGAATCAACTAGCATATTGTGTTTATCCGTAGAGCACTGCTCAGAACTCCAACCTTAATCTGTCTTTAGCTTACATTATAAATTAAAATTTATCCAGCACAGCTTGTGAAGCAGGGGCCAAAAGTCCAAAGAAATATACAGTCAAACCTCGTTATCTCGAACTTCACGCGACCAAGAAAATACTTTTGAGATATCAGAGGATTCGAGATATCCAGGGTAAAGCACTAAGAAATAAGCACTTGGGACTTCAAAATTACTTCGATATATCCATGGTATTCGAGATATCTGTGTTCGAGATACCAAAGTTCAACTGTACATGTATCTTTATTTTACAGGGTAAATTTATCCAGCTTGGTCTAAGCATTGTCCATTCTATCTTTATTTTACATGGTAAATTTATCCAGCATAGCCTGTGGAGCATTGTCCTGTCTATCTTTATTTTACAGGGTAAATTTATCCAGCATGGCCTAAGCATTATTCTGTCTGTCTTTATTTTACAGGGTAAATTTATCCAGCTTGGCCTAAGCATTGTCTGGTCTATCTTTATTTAACAGGGTAAATTTATCCAGCTTGGCCTAAGCATTGTCCTGTCTATCTTTATTTTACAGGGTAAATTTATTCAGCATGGCCTGTGGAGCATTGTCCAGTATCCTAACTACCTGGGGGAGATCATGATGTGGTCTGGTATTTACCTCTCCTCCACCTCAGTTCTCCGGGGGTGGGAGCATGTCAGCGTCATCTCCCCCATCTTCCTGACCTTCCTCCTCACCAAGGTCAGCGGAATTCCCCTCCAGGAAAAGTCAGCCTTCAAACGATATGGAGGAGACCCAGCATTCCATGAGCACATCAAGAAAACTCCCAAACTGATCCCATTTATCTGGTAATCAAGAAAACTTCCAAACTGATCCCATTTTTTTTGGTAGTCAATAAAACTCCCAAACTGATCCCATTTATCTGGTAGTCAATAAAACTCCCAAACTGATCCCATTTATCTGGTAGTCAATAAAACTCCCAAACTAATCCCATTTATCTGGTAGTCAATAAAACTCCCAAACTGATCCTATTTATCTGGTTATTTACAAAGATTGATCCCCTATATTTGGTAATTTAAAATAATTCTAAATTGTTCCCACTTATCTGATAATAATTTTTTTTCAAAGTGACCCAATTTGTCAGAAAACTCCAAAAGGAATAAAATTTACTTGGTAATAAGAGACCCCTAGACTGATCCACTTATTTGATAGTCAATGAGAATTGATCTCAAGTTTTCCAATAGTCATTAAGTTTAAGTTTTTGGTAACAGAAGTTTTTTTAAAGATTTTCTTTGTTTCTTGCTGATTTGTACAGCATTAATGATCAACTGTTTTCTTTGTATGTAATTTATAATCAAGACAGTGTTATCCAATGTCGAAATATTAAACATTTTGCTTATATCACTTGATAGATGATTATTTATAATATCTGAACAGTATGTAAATAAATGCTGGTGGAATAAGAAAGGTAACTCTTGCTGGTCAATCTGATCCTACAGTATGAGTACCACCGGTACTTGTAGATTACAGTGGAGCATTGTTAATACGGACACCAATAATCCAGCTGCTTCAGCTTCTGGATGAAATTTGTGGGGAACAATATGTTTAGTTATACCAAGTATATTTCAGTAACCAGTATGCTTAATTTATCTGGACAATTTGCTCAGGAAGACAAATGTAGATTAACAAGGCTTGACTGTATGGATTCCATATGTTCATATTATTTTCAGCCTTTCCAAAGTTTTATATAAAGTATAGAATTTTTTCAAGACTTGTTGAAAGTTTGTGCTTTTGATGACTGAGAACAATTCATTTGTATTGATTGCAAGGATACAAAAGTGCCATACAAATTAAAAAAGCTCATCATGCTGAATGGCTAATACAGAAGCAAAATGTCTAATCTTGAAAAAGATTCATGTATCTATGGTAGCTGTATTTTGATTAATTTATAGGTCTTTGTTACAAAGATCGGATACATTTTCAAAGACAGATTATATTTTTGTATGACCCTTACATTTATTAAATACATGTATTATTATTAGAATGTGATTGATTCAGTAATTTTGACATAATTGTGCATTTAGTTATGGTGTTTACATCACATTGAATAAAATTTGTACAATTTGTTGAGTAATTTTTGATGGATATTCTTCCTATTTTTCCTCTTTAGCTGAACAGGAAACAATTTCTTTTAGTTGGGGAGAGGGCATTACCAAACAAGATGCCCATGGGCCACGATATGCTCAACAGAGTAACAAGTCCTGCTGTTCTTCATCAGATTTTTAAAGATTTTTTTTTAAATTCATTTGAAAAATAGCGACCCCATATTATGCCCCCTCCCTAACTCTAAGGGGCTCTGCTCTCAGAATCCACACCAACATGGGGATGCTTCAATATCAATATGACTAATATGGCCATGCAGTTATGAAGAAGAATTTGATCCAGATTTTAGCCAACTCTAACCCCGGGGTTAATAATTTGAAAGAAAAAAAAATGAATCTTACACAACTTGGAAATTAATTATTTAGAAGATTTTTGAAATTATTTTCTTATAAAGTCCAATGTAAATATAGTCTCCTCTGTGATTTCACCAGACCCATGGAGGGGGGGGGGGGGGTGATTGGAACAACTTAGAATTTATATTACATAAGAAAGCTCTAGCGTGATTTTCAACATTTCAGCAATTAAGGGAATTCGTATTTTCAAGCCCCCCCCCCCCCAAGAAAATAAATAAATAGAAGGGGGCTTTGGGTTTGTGACGTATATATCTACTTCTAATCTGACTGCGGAATTTCAAACAAAATATTTCTTTGCTATAAGAATGTAATTAATTCTCGAGTAAAAGAACGAAATTATTCCGTCCGTAGCGGTAAATTAAAAATTCAATTCCCCGCGCTTGCATGGGATTTCATCTAGTTTTCAATAAAGGCAATAGAATATGATCAAGTTAACCCTACCCTGAAGAAGAAAAACATCACTATTGTTTATGGATTTATAAATTATCATCATCATGTGCACAGTATGCTTATACTGCTCATTATGGAAGAGGAATTTTAAAAGCATGAAGCCTTTTTTCAATATCCCCCAACCTGGGATCCTATACTCCTAGTGATTTCGTACTGGAAACAGAGCGGTAACTGTTAGCTATGTACACACATGCTTGATAATGTTCATGATAAAAGGAGAAAAAAGAGAAAAGTGCCATTTTTTTCCAAAGATATTTAAAAATTTATGTGATTAATGTACGTGTTTCCTTAAACACATTCTTAAGCTTTTTTGCTCAGTTGAACATCCATTTTTCTTTATTCCGTTCACCAAATTTTGACTGATTCTGTGATGTTAACCTGTATTTTCGTTAGATGTGACCATTGCCCTTCCAGTCCGAATTTGAGCGAGTGTCTGTCGTTTCTTTTTTAGGAGTGACTGGAGTATAATCCTTCAAAACATGCGCATAATCGAGAAATTGTCTGCTGCAAATTAAAACAAAATATCAGAAATAATCTCCTAATTTCTCTCTAGAAAAAAAAATCAAGCTTCAAAAGTGGTTGGAATAAAATCCATAATATCCTGTTGTTTTGCACAATCGAGAAACTGTTTCTTGCAAACTCCAAAATATAAGATTATATACTTCAAGCTTTAGCTTGCAATTTGGTGTTCTTCACCGTGGTTTTAAAATGTACGTCATCATCCGTAGTGTTGCGTTGTAAAATAAATAAACTGTCAAGAATTTTTATAAATAGCATTAACTTTTACGCATGCGTAGTATATATTTAAAAATGTTGCAATGCGGATAAATAAGACTAAACAAAGTTAATGTTTATATTTATCGATATAAAAAGTGATGATTCCTACTATTGAAAATCTACAGTGGTAAATTCAGAAACTCGTTTTCTTTGGCCCAACTTAATGGACAGTACGAGGTAATGTCACCAAAGTAGAACGAGACCAGTTTACATGTAGGTGTCCAATAACTTAACAATGGGAGTGTTCGACATTGGTGAAATGTTTTAAGTAAGTTATAAGCTTCAAACTGACCACTATGTCAGATATTAGTATTAAACTCACCTCGGCGCTAATGCGCTTCGGACCAGCTATAATATCTGACATAAAGGACAGTTTGAGGCTTATAACCATTACTTGTACTTATAAGCATGCAGTGTTTCTTAGAAATGTCTATAAGTGATTCCTTCATATATAAATGTAAAAGATTTTTGAATATTACATAATTTTTGATGAATTTTTCTACTCTCCTCGTTGTTAAAGGGGTGTAGACCATGAAATTCCTAAACTGGTTAAGCTGATATATATAGAGAAACGTCTGAAAATGTCCGAAAGTTAAACAAAACAACGGAGGTAAAAAAAAAAAAGCTGAAAGAAGAAAATGACCGAATTTGTTCTATTAACAAGGTTAAGATATTTGAAGCTTGTTAATCTAAATCATTTACATTTAATTTCATATATTTCTGTAACTTTTAAAATTACTTTTGTTACTGAAGAAATAAATATCCGTTTTTGTTGTCATTAAGGTGATAATGCGCGGATCCAGGAAATTTGTCCGGAATGGGAGAGGGTAGTCCCTCACAGAAATGTTTCGACATGTAGTAAAAAACAAAAGCATACCCCAATAAAGTTAACAACTTCTCCAAACCGAAAAAAAATTTATTACGGATGGGATCGAGAGACAAGTCGCTTTCCTTCATAAATATGAATCTCCTTACCATTTTACCAGGAGGTAAGTGTTTTCAAGGGGGGTCCAAGGTAATTTTTTTTTGGTTACTTTACTACTGGTATATAAATATTCTGAAAATCCCAGGAGGTCTGGACCCCTGACCCCCCCCCCCCCCACCTCCTTTTCAGATCTGCGCATGGCGATATCTAGGCTGGGATTACGTTAATAATAATACCTCATGCGGCCTATAGTTGCACGTGAATTTTCAGAAAAGCATGACTGATTACGTGCTACTAGTTTGTTACCAGTCTCATAAATTTGTATTTTCATTTTTAAAATATTGTCCATAGCCGTTTTCCTAATGACTAGATCCAATTTTGATACTCAGGTAATGACGTCATCCAATCTCATATCATAGTGCTTCACCATGGTTAACCGGTATTATATTTGGCAAACGTTAGTACAGTGTAAGTAATTACCGATAAATAATTATCTAATACAATTTATAATGAGTGGATTGAGCAGATATTTATTCTCGGTGTTACACTTTGATCATTCATTGCATTCAATGAACAGAATACATTCAAAAATTGCTTAGAAGAATCAGTATGTATTACATTGTTTTTTTTATATTAATATAAGATGAAAACTGAATATTAAAGCTGGCATCGATCTCTGCTCTAGGTCTCCAAAATCTAAAACCATCTTTAATGTAAAGACAGTCTTTGAAGTATTGGTGTGACAGTCGTCCATCTTTAAATTTACATCTGAATTCCTTGTATTGCTCGTAGAGGTTAGATTTACTTCATTTGTGGGCTAGACTTCGTTGGCTGTAAAAAAAGGTTTTTTTAAATAATCACTTGTCAAAATATTTGTAGAGATGTTTTTTGGTTAGTATACTATACACCGTACATGTAAATACAGGTATGAATGCACATATGATTATACATTATAGAATTTTCTCAATAACTCTAGTTTTAAGATAAAGGAAATGTCAACTACATGTACATCTAGAAGTATGTAGCTTTTCCTAGGAGTTTTTCATATACGAGTACTTATGTAGTGAAAAAGTGTTTATGATAACATACAATACTGAAGTCAGAAAACATCAGGGAAAAACAGACCTAGAACATCTTTCTTGTCGGCATCGAGGTCCTCGGTCGGGTCTCGGTCAGGCCAGGATTTTGCCTTTTTCCGATTTTTCTCTGATTTGTCTCTCTTTTTATCAATGGGGGGCAAGTTTTTCTTGTGTCGAGATTTACTTTTTCTTTCAGGATATTTCACTTCCGGAGTCAGTCCTTCCGGGTCATGTTTGTCACGTGCCGTTAAGATTTCCTCCGCGAGATGTTTGGTGTGACCTCGCGGCGGTATGCTAGCTTCACTGTATTTGTCGGGACTTTCTGGTGCTAAATGTCTGCCAAGTTTTATTTTGGCTTTTGATTTTCGTCGAATTCCTGTCCAGTCCTCTGGAGATTGGTCAGCTAGAAACAAAAAAAAATATTGTTTTATACTCTGGAGAGTGAGAATTGCACAGTCATGTATAGTTAAAAAAAATAATTAAGGGTAAATATTCTCTCTCATTACTCGAATGGAATTTTTCCGGCAGAATATAATCGAACTATCTCATGACGTTAACATGGTTATTAATTAAATTTTCAGTTATCTCCCTTACAAGAAGGTCATTCGTCCTTAAAATAATGCAAGTGTGAAGCTTTTCTAGGGTTTTTTGAGTACATGTATAACTAATTTACCCAGAAAAATTTTAGGAAACAGAAAAAAGTATATCAATAACATTTATCGCCCCTGAGTTTTCTTCAGAACCAACCTTCTTTATTTGGGTCTTTTTTGATAATATCTTGACCTAAGCCGGAATGTCCAAAATCCTGCCAGAATTTGTCAACGTCTCCCTGGGTTTTAAGAACACCTTTTTTCTGTAGATCGTCCGAAAGCCGCACAACCTTTTATAAAAAAAAAGATGTAGTTGAAAAGAGTACAATTTGTTCAATTGTTTGGACATGCTCAAAATCGCTTTTTCTTCGTTGAACTGTATTGGAAATTTCTCGCCTGTACGCGTATAAAAGTTTGTTCACAATATTTTAATACTGAAAATAAAGCTGTCTATTACATTACATATAAACTCCACCAAAGGTGTGCAAATAAATTCTATAAATCCCCCTTCAATAAAAGTAACAGATTACCCCCCCCCCCCAAAAAAAATACTGTGCAAATTCCTCAGTACAATTTAAAGCTCTCTTTATTGGGTCTACCTTCCTCATTTTGGACTTTGGGAGGCGTTTTATATAGGGCAGTTCGTTGACCAGCTCCTGTTTAGGTCGCTTCTTTATGCTCATTCGTAATCGCTCCTGAAACAAAAGAAAATTGTAAAGGTGGCATTATTTCCCTATCTGTAGTAAGGTCTTTGAATATTAAACATTTTACAGGAATTCAATGTTTATATAAATAAAATATTTTCTCTAAATGTTTATTTTTACTGTATGGATCATTGCCAATGGAACATGCGAGAACTACTTGTATCATGATTTTTTTTTCCTTCAATCTTAAGTTACCAAGTTACAATCCTTTATTTTAACCTTATACATGTGATAGATTTTAAAATGTATCGTGTTTGTGAATTAGAAAATAAAACTGAAACATGGCTGTTTCAAGTCATTACATTTATACGTAAAGGATAATAATAAAAGTCCCCCCTGGTGTTAGCAGACAAAGGACAAAAAAAATCAAATTCTTCCCCATTTAGGGGAGCCGACTGGAGTTTTAATTTTTATTGTGTAAAAACTACAATAGAAAAACCATTTATTTTTATACTATGTATAGCCTTCAACATGCAAAGTTCATTTCGTTTACCGACTAAGGTATTTTTAGGGATCGTCTCAAAATACAGGTACATTAACTATATACATTTAAAAAAATTCTACCATCTGGTTTTTAAAAGGTCGCATCTCAAAATGTCAAATTTTTTACGAAAATTTCGTGTTTTACAGAACATTTCAGATACTATGGATTCTTACAGAAAATTTTAAAAAAATAAAATAAAAAAAAAAGAAATGATAATAAAATAAAAACTCCAAGATTTGAAAATTTCTATGTTTAAAATATCAAAAGCATATGGTTTATACTTTGTCTTTTTAAGATACCAATTTTTTTTTATAAATCTCATCCTAAAAAGCTTCAGTTTACCATAACTAACATTATAAAATTTAAAGAAACCCCCCAAAAAGATCCCTTAACAATTACCGTGAGGTTAAGCAATACTTGTATGTGTACCCCTTCCTCCTAAAACATATAATGCCCCCTTAAAAGCATAATCTACCCAATATTAATTGTTTTTTTATGAACTGTTCTACAACATCCCCACCTACCCACCGCACCAATGTATCATACATAGACAGCATTGGAAAATTAACTTGGAGGCTCCTATTAAAAGTCTTGTGGCCTCCTCTGTGTACTGCAGTAAATCATACCTCCTTCTCCTCTGGGTCTTATACAGTCAATGATAGTGGTGGTGGGGTAGGGGGTGGTTAGTTACTATTAGAGGTCCTTTTTTATATAAATCATACCTCCTCCTCTCAGTCAGGGTGGGGATTATGATGGGGGGATAGGGGTGGTTAGGTCCTATAAGAGATCCTCCTTTATATAAATCATACCTCTTCCCAGAACTTACAGTCAAGGATGGGGTCAGGTTGGGGGGGGGGGGATGGAGTAGGGGTGGTTAGTTCCTATTAGAGGTCCTTCTTTTTATAAATCATACCTCCTACTCCCGGATCTTACAGTCAAGGGTGAGGGGTCAGATTGGGGGTAAGGGGTGAAGGGGTGGGTGGAGTAGGGGGGGGTTCGTTCCTATAAAAGGTCCTCCTTATATGTTTATAAATCATACCTCCTCCTCTCGAATCTCACAGTCAAGGGTTTGGGGTCAGATCGGGGGTGAGGGGTGGGGGTGGAGTAGGGGGGTTAGTTCCTACAAGAGGTCCTCCTATTTTATATATACCTCCTCCTCTCGGACCTTTATCCTCCTGGACATCTCCTCTTCGTTGATCCTCCTGTCTTCCCTCTGTTTTTCTACTTTATCTTGAAGTTTCTTGATATACTTTTCATACCTCTCCATCTGCTCGCGAGCCACAGCTTCGATTCGGATTGCACGATTCTACAACATAAAATATCATCTTACATCCCACTGAAAAATATCATGGACTTATAATGGTTTTATGATTTTTTTTCTCTGTTACTCTTCGGAACACCTTAGGATACCAGTACTGATCTATTTATTTTAAAAATACTAAGCTACATGTACCCTGAACATATGTAAAAGCAACCATTTCAAGTCCCATTATACCCAGAGTTCAATTACTGTAAAAGAAAAATGAGTCCATCAAAACCCTGCACCCACTGCCTTGACAAGGGCGGATCCAGTGGAAGAAAGGTTCCTAGGGTATTCCGTACCCATCTACATGTATAGGACATACTGTGTTATCAAATTCACATTCATATAGCAAACTAGGCCGAAAATGACATAAGACAAGTGCACCTCAGACATGAAGCTCTCTCTCTCTCTCTCTCTCTCTCTCTCGTCAACCCTCATCCCCCGGTTCTGACGAGAAAAACCCCTTTCCCCTTTCCTCATTGGGAAAACTACTACTGGATCCGCACATCCCAGAAATATACTTGTGCTGTTTATTAATTTTCAATCTAAGTTGTCATGTACATATATGTTATCCTTTACAATTTAGACTGAAAATTGATAAACTACACTTATAATAATTAAAAATCCAAGCTTGAAAAAAAATCTTTTTGAAAAGTTTGTTTTGTAAAAACCAGCACTTGGCATCTACACCAAAATTTCCCACAATGCGCCACACAACTATATACCATATATATCCCAATAAATGTACTGCAAACTAACAGTGATTTACAACAAATTCCGATGATTTTACCACAAACTTACCACATATTCCCTCCTATCCTGCGTGGAGGTCACATCCTCGGATAAGCGGGCGATATTCCTCCGCTGTGGGATCATATACATATACATTGCCAAGTCATTCACTTATCTCACTCATGAGTAAATTTGTTTGAATTTATGATCCTAAAAAATTTCTTTGTATAAAGGCATTGTCTAAATCACTTAACTTTTAAAAACAAAAACAATGGCGGAGTTGGGGCGATATATCCGAAATAAGACGAATATCAGCTTCCTTGATGAACTGAGAGAGTTAGAGAATGGTCTGTTTCTAATGGCGATTACTGAGCGAAAAGACAAAATCAATGAAATATTTTTTCCGTAATACATGTTGTGTGAATAACTCTGTGTTTATGTAATTTCCCTTTCATTAGCGCAAATAATTTACGACCCATACATAATTCAAAAAAGACCAACTCAATTTTAAGATAAGACAGATTCGAGGAACTAGTTTAAAGCCCCTTCTTTGTGTTGGGGGATTTTCGATTGAGCCCGACACGCGATAATGAAATATAAAATTGTCTCTGCTCTAGAAAGATATTTACATGTGTTATCACAGAATTCCTCTTCAAACACTGGAAATTCGAGAACTTTCACTAGAATCAGATTCATGCTTTAATTATCCTGATGACGACTTACATTGAAGGAGGGTGGATCTAACGTCACCTCACGATTTGCGCGAGCAGTTTTAATTGCTACTAACACTGACTAAGTATGAAGACAGGTCGATCTTTATCGCCCTCTGTTCTGCGCTTCTTTTTTCTGGGTTATTCGATACAGTACAATCATTTTTAATCTTGTTGTTTATGTTTAAGAATGCAATTGAAGAAACAGCTGTTTGAACTTATCATTTAACTAATAAAGATAACTTTATTATTTAATATGGAAATATCTTTAATGAGATTACAACGTCATACCCAACATTTTGGCGGAAGGAAGATGGAGTGGGATTTCCAGTAAAATAATATAGCTGATCCGCTCAGGTTCAACTTTGGAAAGTATTAATTAACGAAGTTGTAAGGGAGGAAACACTAAATTATTCGATAACAAATCTTTTTGAGCTTTTCTGTGACTTCCACCTATTGAATTAATCCGTATAAAGGAAAAATTCAAAAAATTCTATCAATGCTTTTTTCATCTCTCCTCAAAATAATGTGCCATTTTAACATTCAAAACTATCGGAGCACCTCGCACACTTAACTCAGACAATCGGTGTTCATACAATCATGTGATCGAATCCGAATTTCCTCCAAATATTATTCCTTTGAAATCCGATTTACTTCGTGGCACGTCCAACACTTCAGGTTTCTGCTTTCAAGAACTACTAACAGAAGGTTGTAATCAAACTAAATATACAATGGGCATTAGATACGATAGAAGATTTTTTAGGTGAACCTTATGCAATTTGAAATATGAAATGATTTAAAAGGTAGTTTCGGTGGAGAAATGCATCGATTTATTCCTCCGCCAATCACACCCGAGGTTTGTATGGAGAGTAGCGGAGTCAGCCGAGGATTGCCGATTGATTATAGATACAACTGTAGATTATATACAGTTATCTGCCCTATTTTTTGCAAACACACGGAAAGAATTCTATCAATAAACCGTGTCCGTATAGAACAAGATCAATTTAACAATAGAACTTTTTTAACTATAACAGACCAGGATGCAAACTTTAAAAAGTATAATAGAAACAAAACAACTCTCACCTCCGTCGTCCGCCTGGATTCTGACACCAAGTTTTCCAGGTTGGAGCCTTTAGATCGAACACTCTCCGAATATCGAATTTTTGTTCTCTTCTTTTTCTTTTCTTTCTTTGTTGGCTAAAAAACAAAAAGTTCAACATTTTTTGAATTCTAAATGCTAGTGTCATCCCTAATGTTTTATCCACATTTATTTATATAGTGTAAGCAACGAAGAATTTGATTATTTTACGAATGAGATTTCAGAACAAATTCGGTATGTTACAAGTTATACTCACCGTCTCCTCGCTGATTGGTTCGCTGTAGAGATTAAGGATGCTGGGAAAGCTGGACGAGGAGCGGATCTTGAATCCATACCGACTGAGGCGCGACATGGGCGTCTCTGTGTTGACCGTATAATTGGAGTAAGTGTCCAGCTGGGTGGAGGTCGTGCTGAAGTTGTCGTCTGCATATTGGTCCTCGGCCTCCATGTACGGGTTAGTGGTCGGTCCTGGTATGGTCTTAAATCATACAGAAAATTAGATTTTACTCTCCCGTGGCAACCGGAGGCACTGGGGCACTTCATCATATTCCTAGCCCCCCTCCCCCTCCCCACGCCACAAGCCACCACCACTCTCTCAAATGCCCATGCTCAGTTGAGTGTATAATAATCTAAAACATTTATTCTAAATGCATGTATGCAGCACATTACTTTTTTCTTATCAAACAAGCACTTTTGACTTGTGGTCGAAGATAACAGTTTTTATTTTTTATTATTATTTTTTTTAATTTTATTTATTTTTACAAAATTAATCAGCATTGACCTGCATAATCATGCATGTCATCGAAAAAAGTGGAACAAACAAGGGGTCACCGCGGTATACATGTATATATATTTGTGTGTGGGGGGTGCATCCACAAATCAAGATGCATGCATGCAGAAAATGCATTTTTTACCCTTGAATTTCTTATAGACATTTTAATATCATTTTTTTAGCAAAATTTATAGATAATATCAAAGTACGTTTCAGAAAAGAAAATTTAAAATGACTTCTTTTTTTGCATCGATTTTTTTTTCTAAATTAATCTCTAGAGGTTATGTTCTATAATTCAAACTTTTGTGGTCACAAATAATATACTGTTCATATTGACAGGTGCCCTTTGTAGAGCGCATTGCGTAGATTATCTCAGATGACAAGTTTGTGCTTTAAATTGATATGAATTTGACAGTTTGTGAATGAACAAACAGGCGAAATGCACAGGATTTTAAGCGCATAACGGATTAAAAGTTAAATACATGTAATATATAAGAAGTATTTGTATACATAGGAATTCACTAAGCATAGATACTAAAGAGATTTAATGATATTGCGCAAAAACAGTTGTTGGTAAACAAAGAAAATTTTGAAATATTAATTTATAATTGACATTCGTATGTATTAATTAAACGATTTTTATCTAAAAAACGAAAACATTGTGAAATATTCATCTCACGCATTTTTAACCCTTTTCCGTAATGTCCAACTACATCTAACCTTTTAATCTCCTTTTCTCTCTCCCCTCCCCCCAGCTTAAAAAGAATTAGATGCTAAAATGTCTGTAAAATAATTCTTTTATTGGTTTGTGCATGTGTCAGTGTGTGACAAAAGATCTGATATTAACTATGTATTATGTATATAAATTGTCTCTCAGATATAATTTCAAATGCAGTCTTGTATATGTACTATAAAAATGTATTTATAAAATACATTGATCTATAATCATTTACATTTTTTAAAATTTGTATGATAAACTGTGACTTAATTTCCACTTGCAGGGAGAGTTTCTAGAGCATGTAAGTTTTTAGAACATGCATGCAGTTATCCAATCCCTTTGTACTCAAAATTAAGGTCAATTGACCCTCTGATAAGGAAGATAACTCTCACTTGAATAAATGACTAAAAAAAAGTCGATTATTCCTGGATAAAATTTGTCAAGTTGCAATGTAATTTCTTTCAAATTTTGTTCTAAACAGTGTACGTTGTACGCTGAAATTGTAAACAGTGTACGTTGTACGCTGAAATTGTGTGCATTTTAAGGGACCGGGTGGGGTTTTCATTGCGAAATACTTTGCGCAGCATAGTAAAATGAAGCTTATTTACACTTTAAAGCAACTTATCAAATTAAACGAACTTAAGAAATCATACCTAGGTTAAAAAACTCTATAATTATTATTTCAACAAACTGATTTTTTTACGATTTTTCAACTGAGAGGTAGATGGACGTAGTAATAGTGTATTTATGGCGTTATGATAAAATTTCTTTATGAGGGGTAACATAAAAAAATGATATAAAAAAAAGAAGAAAAAAAACATAAAACACATGCATGCTCTTAAAATTTTAAACACAAGAATTTAAAAATCTCATTTTTTTAATACATATTAAGATGCCCTATCTGGAAACCAGATGATAGGATTTTGTGTTCTTACATATAATTTACAATATAGTATTACTCATCATATATTATAATTTCAGCAAAAAGTCTATTGTAGTACTAGTATTTGGAAAATTTGTTTTAAAGAGTGAAAAACTAGCATTTCCCATATTATCCTTTAGTAAATGTACCCTGTATTTGGAGACGGTCCCTAAGAAAATACCAAGACGATAGGCTTTGCCTAAATTTGGCATGTATGCTGATGTCAATGTAAGTTACCTATGATAAAAGATTAAAGAGGTTTTCTATTGTAATTTTTACACAATAAAACCCCAGTCGGCTCCCTTAATTTTAAAATTATATTTCTTTTAGAAATTCATATTAAGTGATATATTAAACCAACATTTAATGATTTGACAGAGGAATGGAGGCCGCGAATTTGTATAAGGCAAACGATCTTAAATAACATAGCGTGTGATTGGTTGTTTGTAAGTTATAATCCAAACCCAAGCTTTTAAATCATTTAATACACACGCACAGAACATTTATATAACAATTCAGTCGAATTAATCCTCCGAGGTTAATCATGGACTTAACCGATAATCAATCTATTTTATTTTTTTTTTATTTTACATTTTATGACATTACTCTGTGCATTTTGAGGGGAATTTAAGATTAGTTACAGCATGATATTTCTACATATCTGTACATATTTAATAATTTAAACATGAATTAAAAAAAAACCTTTGTACATCCAAAGAAAAATTAAAAAGACAGAATGAGACTTTCTGGAGACTTGCATGAATCCACTGAGGGAGAGATTGATAGGGTTATCCAGCAGTTCACATATGTCTAATAATAAGCAACCCAAAATTAGGGGGCGGGGAGGGGGAGTAATTGGTTACCCAACAGGTCATTTATCTGATATATCTAATAACAATCAAACCAAAAAAATAGGGGGAGGAGGGGAAAGAGAGATGGTAGTTGATTTTCCTCCCCTTGGCCGCTTAGCTACTATATATTTTATCCACATTTATTATATATTAATTTTCTCTGTTAAATTCAATTAAATTAACTTTCACATCATCTTCTCTATCGTCACTTTGTATGCGCATGCCTGATAAGAACAATAGACAATTTTATGGAGTTAAAAATTGGGAGAAAAAAAAATATGAGATAAAATAAAATTACTTATATAAATTTTAAAAAAAGATAGAGGTGAAACTTACAGTTCTGGCTACTGCGGTGGCAGACATCTTTTATTACTAACAAAATATTGCACTTAATACTTTATAATAAAACTATGTCCACATTCAATTCATCATTACGTCAGAGAATGATCGCAGCATTGGACACAGGGTTACTCCCACTAACGACACGGTCCGAGATTAAACTAACAGTGCACCTTAATAATCAGCTGTTGCTGTATATTACCCCAAAACACCAGAGAGAAATTGTGTTAAAGCCCCGGAACAACCAACGGCTTTGTTTCCACCGCTGTTTTGTTCTAATCATGTTCAAGAGGTCGTATTATTTAAATTTTTGAAAAAGCTTGGTAAAGTAGATTGGTATTTTAAGACTCTATACCTATTAATTACCACCACTGCCGCAAAGACAACAAAAGGGGTTGCATTTCGTGAAATCTTTCAAACGTAATTAAGCGGTTCTTTATAAAACATTGACAGCGTACATTAAGGTGACGACTCCAAAACTTCTCGTCAACTTTGTTTTAAAAAGACACCTATAGGTAGTTCTAATTATTAGTTACAGTGTATTAAAAAAAACCCAACAATAATTAGATTGTTAACAGGATAATGAAATGCACAAATCTTCCCGGGGTTTCTCTCCGAATTGAAAGTCTCGGAAGAGACTGCACCCCTACTGGTCCGAGACACCACCGAAATTACAATGTTGTACTGTATATATTGGTCAAGTGTAACTGTGAACCAGTTTTTCTTGTAATCGGACAGTAATTGTTGGAGGATTAGTGAGTTAAAAGAATCACTTTACAGAAATTTCTATTTTAGTAACCATGACAACATCGTTCATCGAATTCAAACATTGATAACAAAATTATCATAATGCATTCTCCTTATATGCCTATAGTTATGCCCCCCTTCGAAGAAGGGAGGGCATATTGTTTTGCTGCTGTCTGTCGGTCCACCAACAGTTTTCGTTCATTTTCTTCGCAGAGATTGCACATACTGAAATGAAATAATGGAGGCGTGCAAGGCGAGGACAATCCCCCGCTCTGAAAAAGACATTTCTCAATTCTTTAAGGTTCATGAAAAGTTACATTTTTCAAAAAATGTATTGTCAATATCAACTTTTACACATTTGCTTCCTTTATTTTATTGAATAGTTTATTGATATATAATTTATTTTTCACATGTTTTAAGGTATGGTTACTATGGTAAAAAAATGTTTCTCACAGGAGTCGAACCCTCTCCAAAGCTCACGGTCAGGCGTAATACTGAACCACTACGCTACGAAATCTTGTTGTCATGCATGCAATGATGTGTGTCAGTGTGATTTAAATAAACGAGTTTGTTGAAGCGTGGAGACTTGACCAATTCATATTTATAAATCATTTTCTATGGCTAAAATAACCCCATTTTCCACTAAATATGCTTTTCTGTCAACTTTAAAAACAAATCAAAAAGTCACTCAATAAAATAATTGAATCAAATGTGTTTAAGATGCCATTACTGAAAACATAATTTTAGAAAAATATAACTTTTTCGTGAACTTTGAAAATTGAGTACATGTATTGTCTTAGAGCGGGTGATCGTCCTCGCCTTGTACGCCCTCTTTCTTTGGTATACAGATTTATCATAAGAATATCTAGGTCAGGTTCTGTTTTGGGTAGAATCGAGCATTTTTTTGACAGAGTTATGCCCCTTGGACTTAGAAAAATTCCAAGTATTTGCTTTCCGTTCATTATCTCTGCAAAGATTGAAACAACTAATTACTGATATATCATGAGAAACGTGTTTTTGCTAAAGATGTGATGTAGAAGACTATTTCTGGTCGTTGCATCTCAGATAATACCGGTAGATGACCCCTATTGATTGTAAGTTTAAAAAGTCAATTTCATTTCCATGTACACAGCCTATTATGTACATACTGCCCATAATAAAGGCTTGTGCACCCTATAATGTATGTCCAGGGGGGGGGGGATAAGTGTTTCGCAATTTCAGTTTTTTGGGGGGTTGGGGGACACAATCACGCAAAAATTCCTTCATAAGGGAAAAAAATTCAGAAGTTATCAATGAGGGGGCACAGACATAGTGTATTTATATTTTCTGTTGTTTATGTTTTTTATAGTATACTATACCCCCTTCCCGGTTGATACAGCCATGACACGGAATTCAGCATTGTAGTCTACTTATATGCAAGTTTTTTGGTTTATTTTTTTTAATTTTTTTTTTTTTTTTGTTAAACTGGGATAAATGCTTTGGGAGGAGTATAATTTTGAAAAAAAAGTACTGTTTACAGGCGCGTAGCTGCCTATACGCAAGTGCGTACACATCACTTTCAGAAAAAAAGAAAAAAGAAAAGAAAAAAAATCTCAGTACCATCCAACAAATATTTGTGTTTCAAATTATTCTGTGTCATACTGTGTCCATTTAAATTTTAAATTATCATGGCTGTATGATAAAATTTGAAATCTTTTATTTAATAACTGACAAATCCAAATAAATCATTCATTATTTTGTCATTCTTCTATCATACATTGATATTTTTTTTTTAAAGATCTTTGAAAAAATAAATTTTAGCCACATCGTTGAATGCTATGATCTACTAGTATGATTTACAATACGAAATTTTTTGTTCATAATTAAAATTTTGTATACGTGTTTTTAAACGTAACTTTATAGACGGATAGATAGATAAACAACGGAATTTCTACCATCGCCTTTGGTGGACTTATAGGTGGCACACGACCCCGTAAAATTTCAAAAGATGGGGATTCAAGAGTATAAATATAAAGGGAAGGTATGAGATATGGTTCGCGTGCAAATTTGGCATACGTGGATTTTACTTTTCAACCCTCAGAGCCCAGTCTCTGAAAAAAATCCAGCGCCTCTCCTGACGGAAATTCCTAGATCCGCCCATGATCGCATTAGCTCTTCTGATCTATGACTACATGTAGAACAGTTTTGAATATATTTGTTTCCGCTTTATTTGCATGAGAGGTTTACCCTACAATCAGGTTTTATCTATATGCCCATTTCTAGGTTCCTGACTTTTACCTGAAAAACACATAGGAAAGGAAAAACATCTCTCCTCCATGAAAGAATTTTTCAGTAAAGTTGACATATATTTTTTTTTCAATGTTATTAAAACTCCATAGTCCATATGTATATATATATATATATATATATATATATATATATATATATATATATATATATATATATATATATATATATATATATATATATATATATATATATATATATATATATATATATATATATAATTCAGGCATTGTTTGGTTTAAAGTAATACATTTACTAATCGCAAGGGAAGTAAAAAAAAAAAAACTAGAGGCACTCTGAGCACTGAGCTCACAAAATGATACCCCCTGCTTCCCATATGTTTATAATGGCAAAGTCCATGTTATGCTTTGGGAGACCCAAAATATGTGTCAGACCAAAAATTAAAATAGGAGGTGCACAATGGCACTATGTAATAAAGATTCTGTGAAAGTCTCATTAAATTTTATTCAGTGGTATAAGAGGAGTTGAGGATAAGAGATGGGTACCCCAAAGTGTAACAGACGGATGGACGTACAGACAGACAGACATCCCGATCGCTACATCCCCGATCAATATATACCCTCCCACTTTTCAAAGGGGGGGGGGTATAAAAAAAATAATCTAAACGCAATTACTCAGAGAAGTGTGATATGTTTAAGGTTCATAGTCAGGTAATATTTTACCTTAGCCTTAATGATTTTCTAAACAATATTTGATTTATGATTAAAAATAAACACATTATTACATTTTCAACAGTGAAATACTGTGATTTATTTATTGAATAAAAGTGATATTCTCTCACAGTGTGAAAGAATACCAAAAATGATAAGCTCTCACAGTGTGAAAGGATATCAAAGAAAGTAAAAAATAAGTTCTGGCCTGTCATAAGATAGAGATAGTAACTAAGCATCTTGATAGAGCTAAAACTGCAAATTTCTTCCTAAATATGTTGCTAAAATCCATGCTTTGTAATGTTTCCAATCTGACGCACAACTTCTAAGCTATGACGTCTCAACCGCTCAACTATGACATCAAGCCTATGACACTGTGTTAAGAAAAGACAGAGGCAAAGTAAAAATCAAAGAAAATGTAATAAACAGAAAATTCAATGTTTTGTAGATGAATATGGAATTTATTTCACTCATGAGACAGGATTTTTTTTATATTTTCACTCGTGCTTCGCACTCGTGAAAATATCAAAAAAAAAATCCTGTCCCACTTGTGAAATAAATTCCATATTCATCTACAAAACATTGAATATCCTCTATTTATTCCATCATTCCTTGCAGGGCAAATGCCTTATAGTTATTTCTTTCAGTTAGAGTTGTCTCCCTTATCTGACAACTTTAGAATTTTTCAACATGGTGTTCCTTTACAAGTATTTCCTTTGTGTGATAAACATTTATACAAGTTCTCCTGCACTACTGTTTTGTTGTCTTTATTAAGTACAACTGTAAATTGTTGTTATATATAAATTAAAAGAAAAAAAAACCCACAATATCTGTTTCAATGATTTATTTACAAAATGTTGATGTCATTTTGTTATGTACAAATAGGACTAGTTTTGTGTGTTTGTAATCACTGAATAAATAAAGGACAATAATACAATGAGGGAGGTGTTAGTAATCAATCCTCCGACGGGGAGGTGTTATTAATCAAACATGGAGATCATACATCAGATTCAAGGTTAGAAAATAAATATATTGCACAAATTCGCTGTAAAATTCCTCCAAAAATACAAGATTAATCTCAAATGGAAATGAACTGACTCGAGACAATGGATGATATAAACACATGAAAGGCAAGCTTCTGACAAAAAAAAAATTTAAATACTGAGACTGTTTGATCTTGAGCAAACAACAAAAAAATACTGCTGAGAAAAACTTATAAAAACAGAACATACAATACTACATCTACAGGAAGTCAAACTACAAATACAGGGGCTAAACATCCTTAATGTCCACAAATTTACAGAGAAATATCAGACTTTTTCATTTTTCTCCCTGGAAAATTATTTGACCAATCAAAAAAAGCCCACAAGTTCTACAATATCTTAACAAACAATTTATAAGGACTTCCAACATTACATGTACATACAAAACTTTTTATCAAAAATACAATCATTATTGATACCTAAAATTTGACTGGCCGCCATACATGACAGTAAAATAAATACCCTTCAAAGACAAATCTTACTGGGCGAAAGTAAAAAAGTAAGACTTGTCACAAAGGGTTAATACTCCAGCTAAAAATGTCAGGTTTTTTTCTAAAAACATTTCATTAACAAATGCATAAAACCTCAAAGCATGGCAATATGATAACCATAAAACATCAAAAGGCTAAAAACAGAAAAAACAAATAAAAACAATAAAAAACAAACCCCTCTGACATGGAACAACAACGCCTTTATTTCACAAAGTCCTTCTTCGCGATTTCTCTCTTATATTTCCTTGGATGCACTGGTCTCGGAATTCGGAAAACCAAACATTTCTCCTTACGAAGGTCACTAAAGTTCTCAACAGAAGTCTGCACAACTGTGTGTCTGAATACCGACTTAACGATCTACGTACAACAAGAGGACCCCCGGACTGACAAGGACGGTGTATTGGGAGGTACACTTCTCAGTCCCCAAAGGGATGTCTATGCTGGCTTACACAGAGCAGCAGAGTTGTCTTCCCATGGGTATTAGCAACCCTACCACTCTCTGGATGCCTCGGACTTCGGACTCGGTAAAGTTCCCTACCACGGCCACTCTTTGGACGCCCTGGACATAGACTTGCTCCTGCGGACCCTGGTGATGACTATGGGTGAGGGCTTGTCCTCTAGGAACGGGAAAGTGAATCCTTTGGGTCTCTGTAACAGAAAAAAGACATAATTACTACACAGCCTGTAGTCAACAATTTCTATAAAGTATCATTTTAACCTTCTTTTTTTTCAATAAACACTTTCATATAAAAAAAAATAAAAAAATTTCATTGAAAAAAAGTCACTTATTTAATTTGTGATTCTTTCTTTACATATTATAATTTAATGGAGGCATTATCTTTACTCTACAAGCATGTTAAGGTGCCCCATCACAAATGTGTATCCTAACAACACATTAGAAATATTTTCATGTACAGAATCATTTCTCAGATATTGTCTGTAGGACTTTCAGTTTATATACCATAATTACTGAGCTGTCATAATTACTGAGCTGTCATAATTACTGAGCTGTCATAATTACTGAGCTATCATAATTACTGAGATATGATGAGGCCTTACCTGTCTGAGGGCTGACCGTGGCTTGGTGGGGGTGCTGCGCGGGGAGTGGTGACTCAGGGAAACCTCCTCCAGATCCGGATTCCAGATGATCCGGCTGGCTCGCTTTGGAGCTGAAACAGAATGAAAATATTTATACTTTTTTCCTACAAATAATTAAAAAACATGTATGCAGAAATATTTCTCATGCAAAAACATTTCTAGCTCAAACTTTGAAAGGCAGTTTTGATCAGAAATGATTTACTTCTTTTCCTTTCAAGTTATAAATATTGATATACACTTCTTTGCAGCCATTTATTTTACAAAATAAAAATCAACCCCATATCTAATTTTACTACAAAATCATAGCGATTTTGAAAGTTTCACAAGCCCTTTGATTTGATTGAGAAGTTGAATACAAATGAAGACTTACGAGGGAAGTGAACCATGGGAAGTTCGGACATGTTGAGATAGCGTACGATTCGCTGTCCATTACAGATAGTGTGGAGTTTGGTGATTGTGTCCACCTCCTGTTCACTCTGTAAATAAAAAAAGAAAAACTTAGTAAGGACTAGAAAATCATGACCACAATGACTTAACTTTTTGGAAGCACAGACCAATTCTTAAGGGTACACGTTTCTCATAAGGATGAAAGGCAAATGATAAAAGCATTGAACTTGCAACACACGTGTCTTTAACTTGGGCAGAAAACATTTATACAATGACTACACTACCTCTTAGAGGAAATTTTCTGTTTTATCAACTCCTTTAACAGATTTTCCAATTTCTCTTTCAGTTTATACCAAAATTATAAGCGTTCTTTATTTGTTTACAAAGTAACTGATTATAAACTTACCAGTTTGGGTACAGGCTTCTCCTCACAGCAAAGTTTGGTCCCTCCCTGGCTCCTGTGATTTGGGGGATCAGATTTGGATTTCATTGCCGCCTTTGTCTTGGTCACCTTGGCTAAAAATAACAAGACAGCTAATCAGTCATTGAAAGTACCAAAGGTGTTTTATTTTCTGTATTCATTAATAAACAGCTCATAATTTCAAAATTTGTTTAAAATGTTTAATGCAAACTAATAATAAATTTTACACTGTGATGAAAATCTTATTCTTTTGAAAAGGAACATGGCATAAATATGTTTTTATAGATTCTTTTTTTTTTTCCCGTGAGCATCCAACAAAAACATTTCATCTTAAACACATGATAAAAAAGCTGACCCCTAAGGTCAAGGTCATGTCATTCTTCCCCATATTTAAATACAAGTTTGTGTCATAATCCCTTTCCTTACATGACAACTCAGTCAAATCTCAAACACTTACCACTGTTGATTTTGCGGGTGTGGGCCTCAGAAGCTTTAGCTGGGATGTAGACAGCTGTGGAGAAATCGTCAAGGTTCGTCTCCAGGGTACGTGGGAGGTAGGTGGAATCCCCTGACGACGATGACGAGGAGGTGGAATCCTGGCCGTCCAGAGAGTTATCGAGGCAGGAGGAAGAGAGGGAACTATCGCTGTCATCCTCACCAAAGTAGATCCCGATGATTTCCTGACAGAGTTCTCGCTCGCTGACGTCAGGCTTGTCCTTTAGGAGTGGGGTACTGTCGTCGGGGTCACTGCTGTATCGACTGTTGCTGACCCAGTACGCAGTGTTCTGCATGGACTGCTGGATATCAGCCGGAGACTTGGAAGAATCAGGTGGGAGATCTGGTACCACTGCAATACTCTTCAGGACTTCTCGGTTCAGGCTCTGGTTGCGGACTTGTAGAATGGGACTACGTAGTTTAGACCTGCTTCGTCTTTCGCTCTCACTTCTGCTGAGTTTTGGCACAGGCTTGGGGATGACATCTGGCTCACAGTAGGAGATCCGATTCCTCTGTATCAAGTCACAGGAGGTCACAGTCCTACTGGAACTAACTGAATCCGTAAAGTCACTACAGGAGTTGAAGGACTTGAAAGCACTGGAGGAGCTGAAACTGGAGGAGCTGCAGGCTTTGGCTGTGGTAGGTGGCAGGGCGTGGCTCCGTGCATATGTGGGTAGGGGGGTCACCAGCTGTTGGTGGGACTTCCTCTTGATGACGCTGCCATTGGTCTTGATACGGTTTCCTCTATTTACAGAATTTGTATGTACAATTGGGTTCCTGGGCTTCCCTGAAGCATTAGGAAGAAAGCACTTTTCCTGTGTAAAGAAACTGGAGCACTCGTCAAGATCAGAGTCACTGTCTGAGTCTGTGGAGGTACTTCGCTGGGATGTGGGAGTAACTGTTCTGGTCACAGATGCCAAGTCTGAATCGGAATCCGAAGAATCGTCCACCCTCACACGATCCTCCCCCTCAGAATCACTAGAAGAGTCACCACAAGAATCACAGCTGCAGGAATCACTCAGTGTGTGGAAGGATGACGCAGAATTGTCCTCTCGGGAATTCTCATCGTCCTTTACTGCGGAAGTAGGTTCCTCCCCTAAACCATCACTGGGATCCTCCAACAGGGAATCATCCTCCGGTGAAGCAATGGGGGCACGACCTCTGGACTCCTCCCGTATGACGTCAGGAATGTCGGACACCACGCGAGACATCAGACTGGAAGAGGAATTGGTGGTGGATCCAAATCCACTGTCCAGGGAACTCAGGCTGCTACGGATGGAGAGGTTATCTCCCTTGGAATCTCCACTGTTCACCGAATCGCTGTCCTGACCAGAGTCGTTGTCCTTGGGGCCCGAGAGGGAGCTGTCTTCTCGAAACAACTTGATGTTCTTTTTGCGGAAGCTGGGGATGAAGAGAAGGGTCCGTCTCTTGGAGAGTTTCTTCATCTTCCGGACCTCGGTCTCGGAGAAAGCTTCGGGGTCATCGGTCTTCATTGGCTGGTACTCTTCTGTGCTGTAAAACAAAATCTCATCCAGTTACTGTACTGTGTGGCTGATTTGGAGGGAAATTTAACATTCCTATTAATCTGTCTCTGTTACTCCTTCTCATATTAATCCTGACTAAATTTTTGTTTTGGATTAAATCAGGAATGCCACAGTCGGATTTGTATGCACAACAAAAATTCAAATTATGCAACTTTAAAATCAGCTGCATATCATTTAAAACTTCAAACTTACCAAAATCAATTTGCACTCAAAAACAAAAACAGATAATACATTTACTGCACATTCTTATCACACTTTTAACATGGAAATATATTTTTCTCATATTAAAACATGAATGTTGTTTACACATTTGATGAGGCCCTTTCTAAGTAATTCCAGTGTTATTATTAACATTTAATCCATTTTAAAAACCCCTGTCTGGTGTTACAAGCTGACTTACAGAATCTGCATATCCCGGGGGTCAGACACAACAATGACTTGTGACACACTAATTATAGGACCTGTTACAATGTTCTGTACAAACAACCTCTGACAAACAAGCTTAGCTATGACAACAACATAAGCTAACTGTTTAGGACTCTTTATTTCTTTCCTGTCCATTGTGTTTATAGATCCCCTGTTTCCTGGCTGTCTAATGACCCTGATTTAATCATATAATTATAAGCTTCTCAAACTTTCAGACAGTGGCAATTTTATTTTAAGTTAATGTGTACTTTTGAGAAAATTAATTATGTTAAAGGAAACAGATGGAAAGTAATTATCTCAGAATACTAGAAATAAATATAATTAGAAATGTATCTGTGTTATGCCTATTTTCAAACCTAAATTTCTGCCAACTGAAAAATTTTTGACCCCCCCCCCCACACACACAATGAACTGTTAATTAAACCTATGAAATAATTAGTTCAGTAAGGTCTTATTTCTTTTCACATTTCAGACATTTAAACAAATCCCTATTAGTCTGATATATCTCGGGGCTGCTTCTTTACAAGGGATTTATTCAAGAAAATCAAAAACATTTTTTGAGAAAAATCTGCTTTGTATCCTCTGGGCATCTGTAAACAACACTTACAAAATATAACTACTAAAACACTGATCTCCCGGCCCCTCTACAAACATGACAAAGCTTGATTCTTGCACAAAAAGCAATAGTCAAATAAAACCTCAAATTTTATATTTAGCCTAATGTTCAATATATATGAACAATCATTGTTATTTTACTGGTGATAATTAAACAATGAGCTGATCGAGTACCCAGATTTTATTTCCTGACTAGATTTATGTGTTAAGACTAGCATGCTACCCTATAACGACAGACCCCCCCTCGTCCTCGGATGCTTTTATATAAAACTGTAGAGTACAGACTTGTATAAAATCCCACCCGATGAAGTTTAAGCTTTTAAAATACACATTTTGTTTTAAAAATATAGAAAAGCTACCCAGTAAGTTGTAACAGGTCTTTGGCATGGAAGCTGACATTAATAGGTTCACTGTTATATAATGGTATACAATTTTTTCTTACATTATTGCCCCCCCCCCCCCCACCTCTTCTACCTTTAAAATCACGTTAATATTTAAAAGGTATAGCAGTAAAATATTCTACAAAGCAACTTTCATGTTTATTTTTTCTTGGTTTCTTAGAAACTTTGTCCTATCAATATTTTTCACAAGTAAAAAGTTCTCTTAGGCTTGCTAATAACTTTTCTTGAAGACCCCCCCCCCCTTAATTTCTTCATCAATTTCAGTACAAGCGAAATCTAGAAAATCCACCCCCTTCCTTTAAAACGTGGAAAAAGAATGAACAAAATGCACACACACCTACCTTATCAGAAGAATCATAAAACAATTAAAAATTCCTGAATCAATAAATAACATTTAACACTATATAACACTACAACAGGCACTGTCCATATAGCACTAAACACTGACCATCTGTTCACACTGGGCAGTGGAGGGTCTTTTATCTACACTACATCTTAGTTTGACATACAGTGCTCAAGTCAACCTGTGACTGGGTCATTATGAGTCTCCCTGGGGGGTCATCAGGCCTATAATGTTCCTTCCTACCCCCCACTGAAAGAGTCTGTATATTGCTGTGGGAAAGGAGAGCTAGGCAGTGATAGACAATCTACTCCTGTCTTGAAATTTAGTATGTCAATAATTATTCATCTTGTACTAAAGCTACTTCACTCTTTGCTCAATCAAATTTCAATGTAGTTGTACCGGTATCAATAATTCTATGCAGTAGAATTAATGCATCAAAAATTAGCAAGACTTCAAAACCAGTCTAAAAGTTATACCAGATATTTTATTTTACTTTGATGCCAAATATTCTACTTCATCTTTGAATATTAATAGTTTTAAGGTTATTGACCCTGTGATAAGAGAGCTAACTCCTCCAGGATAAGCATAACATTGTCAAGTCAAAGTTCCATTTCTGTCAATTTTTGGCCTTTCTTTAAAAGTTTTGACAAATCAAAGTATTAAAGCAAAAAAATTATTACTTTTTAAAATAATTTTAATAACTGTTAAAAAGATAATTTATATGAACCATATTATCAATGATCTTAAGCTGTATTTTTTTTCTTAAAGATTTGGCCCCATGCCAATGGTGTTATATAAAACATAATTATCCTAAATTTTGTGTGAACATCTTTAATTTTTTACCATCTCCTGTTAGAATGTCCTAATTTGAATCCAGAAAGTTGTCATTATATAAGGCCCCCCAAAAAAAATTATTGAACAATTTTTATGAAAAAGCGAAAAGAAATTTAAAAGAATAGGAAATTATTTATAGCAATGGACATGTCATATTTTCTTAGACACGTCATGGGTCCCTATATTCTATTAAGTTTTAAAGTTGGCGCCATAGAAAAATTGTCTGGCGAGTGGCGACTAAGAATTTGCATTGGCGACTAATTTTTTTTGATAAGGCGCCAGCTGGCGCCTAAATTTTAGAGGCCACTTAGAGGCCTGCTGGCCATTTCCTAGTATTAGCCTGACCTTACATTCAATCATGGTGGTAAAAATTGTCAACAACAACCACTGAAGTGAAGAACTGGTTTTTACGTTTTAAACATTCAGGATAACTTTTAAACTTTCTGCGAGTTTTTTTTTGTTAATAAAATTTGAAGTTTACACCCAAATTAACCCTTATTATTTTTATCAGCAACGTCGGCGACTTTTGTTTCATAATCCATTACTAGCATTGAAGAGCTCCAATCAATTAACAATCAATTGTTTGCGACAATCCTTTCATCACTAGTTAAAGTATCTGTAATAAACTTTTTGCTGTGTATAAAAATGATCAACTTAATCTAAATAATGCCATTCTACTCAGTTTAAGTCACTTCCTACTCTCAAAACTGGAAAGTGCACCAAAATATTATAACTCACTGTAATGACAAGAGTTGTTCCCCTTTTTCTATGGTCACTGATGTACTCCAAAATATTGCTTTCCACTATTCAATTTTGCTAGATTTTTTTTCTTCAATTAAACCCAAAAAATTTGATTTAATAGTGCCTAACCTTTAACATTCAAGTTCAAACTTTTCCCCTGCCCTGGACACCAATTCTAGAGGTTAACATACGTTCCTAGACTTTCAAAAAAGATTAAGTCCCCCCATGGTGCAGTGGTTAGAGCATCTGCTCTAGTCACGGAGTAAGGAACTGATCCTTACGTCACATGTTTGAATCCACTGTGGGACATGGAGACCGGTCCTACAGATGAGACCGTATAAACCGAGGTCCCGTCTCGCAGTAAATGCTGGCACGAAAAAGATCACTCACTGCTCAATGGCCCTGAGTGCCGAATATAGGTATAAATCTCCAGCCCTCCACCAACAAGTGATGGCGTCTCAATATGAGTGAAAAATTCTTGAGAGGGACGTTAAACAATAAACAAGATAATTAAAAACAGGTGGTACTTTTACAAAAAATAGGAGGTACCTTGTGGATGCAGTTTTATTTTATATATTATTGAATTTTTCTTCAACTAATGTTTTGGCCTGTTCAATCATGATTTCAGCTGAGTAAAAGTACCGGGTATAGGCAGACTGTGAAAGGCCTGCATGGTCGGACTCAGAGACTGAAATCCATCAGTCTCAATAATTATGGATTATCATCAGGTTTACTTTTAGCTACATGATATTTTCATCATTTTTTCCTTCTTTTTTTGTTAAAGTAACTTAATAATAGTCATGTTTTCATTTTCAATTTTATACTTCTTCACTGGTTATACGTACGTGATGTTTTAGTTTACCCCTGAAGAGGAATATTTTCACGAGTTTCATTTCATCCGGATCAAGAATTACTGCTGACCTTGAATATGATCAAAATGGATGGTGAACTTTGTTATTTTATTTCATTCTATTGGTAAAATATAGATTTATTAGTCCCACCGCAGATTTCCCACTTTTAATGGCATTTACCACAATATTAATGACATGAACATCACAAAAGTACACTGTCTTATAATAAATACATGCAGACTTGTTTGTAGAAAAATGTCTTGTCAATAAAATTGAAACAAGAAAATGCCCAGCAAATCAAGCAAAAATATTTCAAAGCTCCCGGACCCCCCATTTTTGGTAGAAAGACAAATCCTTGTCATTTGATCTTCTTTACTATTTTAATGTAAATAGAAATATAACCCTCTGTTTTTCTTTATGCCTTTGAGTTTTTTACCTGCCAATATGACCAGTATAATTGATTTTAAATATTGTATATGGTGAAATTTTCGCCCCTATTTTGTTTTCGCCCCTTTCCCCCTACTCACAGATGGGCAAATTTAAAACTGGGTGAATTCAAAAAACACAATATAATTTCTTGAATAGAATTGTGACCGGGCGAATTCAAAACGGCAAAATTGTTTGCAAGGTGTAAAAGGGCAAAAATAACACAGGGCGAAATTAACACTGTATACAGTATATGGGAGACATGGAGTTTACCATGCTTTCTAATCTTTTTATTTGTTGGTGGATCTAATATATTTCGAAGAGAGGTAAC